AATCGCCTTCTGCGAGCAGCCGCCGAGCAAGCACGGCAACTCAGCCTGTCACGCAACCGTCTCCTAACCGGCCCAGACCCCCCAGCGAAGATACTGGCAGTTCTAGGTGACAGTTTCCATGGAACAGGCTGGATTCATTCCTGGTCGGCCTTGGAAGACTGCATGTATACTGGCATTTGCATTGGAAAAAGGGGAATGGTAGACGTCAGTGCTGAGGAAACCCTTTTCGTGCGCTGAACCTGAATGAGCCCACTTGCAATCGTGCGCGTGCCTTCAACCACCAGCCAAAGGGCTCCAAGGTCTCCTGGACAAAGCGGCAGAGAATCGAATTCGTGGCCAAGCACATATAGCCCCTTGAATCCCAAACGCTCGGTCCATGGAAGCGATGGAACCAAAACAGTTTCAAAGCCCAGCATAGTCTGGGCCCGACTTCCCAAACGCTCACTGTGTCTTCATTTTGTGACGGGAGTCTTCCTGCAAGATATCCAACGGGGCAAGTGATTAAGCAACAGGTGCTATCTCAGCCAGTCAGCATCAGGTCGGCGGGTCTGGCTTCAGCTTGGGGCGCATGCCTTTTGGGGCATTGGTTTGAGGCAAGTCCTGGGCGGACGACGCACCTTGGCCGAACATGCCAAGGACACTGCATTGGCGTGCTTGATGCCACTGAAGCAGTGTTTTCTCAATCTGGCCACATCCAGCCTGACAATGCCCCCCCCTCCGCCCCGAGAGAAAACACCACTGAACCGCCTCATGTCGGCCGTATCTTAACCTGACGTCGGATGCTGAGGGCGCTGCCCTTTCCGTTTCCCTTTCCCTTCTTGGGCTCACCTTTTCCTTTGTCATGCGGTGCTGTCCTTTTGGTTTGTTGGAATCCCAAAGTCATCGGGCACGTGGTAAAAAGCGGACCCCAAACCAAACCTACAGTGCGAACCCAGCATGCAATGTGCGTTTGCAGCAATGTCACACTGAAATCTGCATTTCCAAATCGAGTTGAAAGCACTTTGGCGTCCAGAAATCAAAGGTGTCGCTGGCAACAGATCGGATCAATCCGTTTAAGTCACTTTGCTGTCATGGGAACCTGTTGGTGATTCATGTATGCTTCATGAGCACTCAAGCGCCTGAAGTCCTTAGTTTCGAGCCATGGCCCGAGGCTGTAGCCCGGGTTGGCTTTGGGCGAAATCCTGTTCCGAGGCCAAAGTCAGCGCCTCCCTATGTGTAAGACAGCTGCTTGCAAATGTCTGAAGTAGTGATCGGAGGTGGTATGCAACAGTGAGGTCTTCAAGCAAACGGACTCCAAGATGTAAACAGAATGAGCATCATATACCATATTTGAGTCATTGGAAAGGCCGCTCTGACACTGACGCAAACTCAAATGTCACAATTCATTTGTCGCCTTGCAGCTTCGGTTTGCAGAATCAAATGCCTAAACTTGCCTCTAAAGATAGCAGAGTTGTTTGCCTTGGCAGTTTGACCAGTTGTGTTTGCCACGGGGGGTGGACCCCACTGAATTTTCTATTTGTCAAATCTTTATCAGTAGTGGGAGGCATCATATGGCAAAGGTGCATGCTTAGAACAAGGTCAAATACTCCAGACCAGGGTTCCAGGTTGTTCCCCTGCAACATGCAGGCTGCATGCAGACCAAGGGGCCTTTTCCCTTCACGGGAACTGGGAACTCTTCCCATTCATCAACTTTGCCAAAGACTTTGCCCTGCAGAGCACCGGATTGAAGACGGCAAATGAGAAATGAACCCACCCTCCGAGACAGAATTGATCAGGTGTGAACATATATGTCAACACAGCCACGATTACAAACCTTCGGGCGTTCTGGATAGTACACGTGTCCATTCCCTTGATACACCACCGCAACTCACTGGTTGTTGGAACGGTCGATCCGCTTTGGGCGAATGAGATTAGACCTGGGCACCATATGAGCCAAGGAGCATGAAATCCGCCGACCCCTTGTCTGCAAGGGCGAGGCACATGGGAAGGGTGTCATCATCATCATCATCATCGTCGTCATCCTCCTTCTCATCGTCATCATCATCATCATCATCTCCATTGGCGATTCAAGGGATGCTACGATGATAGTGGTCAAGGCACCGCTGGAGACGCAGAGGAGGTCGCGACGATAGTTGTGATAACGCGGATGATCGCCATCATCTTCCTCACAGTCCTCATCGTCATCATGATCACAGTTGTCATCATCATCATCGTCATCATCATCCACTGTTGGAGATGCAGGGGATGCTACGATGATGCTTGTCATCGTCATCGTTGGAGATGCAGCGGATGCTACGATGATACTTTTCATGTCATCATTATCATCGTCTGTTGGAGATGCAGGGGATGCCACGATGATACTTATCATCGTCATCGTTGGAGATGCAGCGGACGCTACGTGCAGAAGATGCGCATTCATGATTATCATCATGACTGCTGGTGATGCTGAGGATGCATAGTGACGATCATCATCCGATTTGAGATTCACAAGACGTGTGGGCATGATTATTCTCATGACTGCTGGAGATGCTGAGGATGCTGCGATGACACTTGTGATGACGCGGCAAAAACTGCTGCGCTGAGCGTTGGGCTGTTGTTCTGTCCGTTTTGCTTTTGCTGTGGCTGGCTCGCGTGCTGCGCGGTCCTTGCTTTTTTCCCGTTGGTTTTCGGGCCTTTTGGCACGCGCGCGCGACCCCAGCCACAAAACGCTGCTATTTACGGTGCGTTTGTTGCTTTTGCGTTTCCGGGCTGGCTTGCGGGCTGTTCTTTTTGGGCTGCTGTTTCTGGGGCCTCCGCGGGCGACCCCATGTCAGCCTTCTGGGTTGGGGCCCGGCTGGGGCCCAGAAAGCTGGCATCCCCGGCATCATCTAGCGTTGCGGTGGGCAACATGCATAACCTAACCAGCCATATCGTAGCACAGGATACGTTTCTTATACAAAAAACATGGCATGACATGGCATAACTTCAAAGAGGCGTTAGCCGGCTGGAGGCCGCAGGCCCAAAGAATAAGCGCTCTTCTGGCCACCACAGCAAAATGAAACTCTGAAAATCATACTGATCTTCGTTGGATGCACATGCCATCAAAGATTTGCGACTGCGACCGGCTGATTACAAAGCCCTGCATCCAAAATACATGTGAAGCGACCCGTCGACCCCCAACCTTTTTGTCTTTTGCTTGGGCAAAAAGCTTGAAACTGCAGCCCCTTCTGAAATGCTCGCCCATGTGAGCCAGGGCCCTTTCCTGCCAGCATTGCATCTCTTGGCATCACGTCTTCTCTGCGAGGGAGGCGATCGCTTTGCCCAGCCTTCCAGTTTCCCTTACCACCCTTCGGGCCCTTTGCACCCTTTCCGCTTGCTTTGCTGTAGCCACCCATAGCGAGATTGGAGTGACACCTGCCAGCCGGGGTGCGATCGGTTGGCAAGGATGGTTTCTCCGTGGCTTCTTCTTGGCTTCCTCTTGGTTTAGCGTGGCCTTCCTTGGTTTCCCTTTGGTTTCTTCCAGGGGTCCCCTTAAAGATTCATAAGGGTCATTCCGTTTCTGATTCCCTGCCTATCGCACCAGCAAGTTTGGATGCTTTTTGGCCCTAGCTAGACCTGGGCTTTGCGTTGCTCGAGGCGTTGTGGAGAGACGGGGTTTAGCGAGGAAGCGCCTTTTTCGGGGCCATTGGAGTGAGAGCTGGGGTGCCCGAAAAGCGGTCTCTTTCAAGGGAAACCAAAGGAGCTACAATGGAAGCCCTGTAAAGCTGAAATGTGTGAAAGATAGAAAAAGTTAGTAAATGTGGCAAAGGTTGGCAAAACATCGGTTAGTAAAGGACAGCGCCGGTCCTCTGAATTCTTTACGGGTTTTGGGTAGCGGTAGGCCATTCTTAAGACCAGATTCTGATTGTGACAAGGGAACAGGTTCTTCGCTATGTTGGTTATGGGTGTCCTGAAAACGCGGCCACTGTTTGCACTGGCCTGTCAGGGCCCTTGTCAAGGGTCTTTGGGAGTGAGTTCAAAAAGGCCCTTGTGACTGTGTCAGGGGTGTAACCAAGTCACTCAACTATCGTGTGCCTGGCCTGTGAGCAGGAGCAAGCAACTCGAACTTTTCTGTGGCAGGCGGAGACCGTCTGAGCCAGGTTGCTGCACGCGCAAGAAGCCTGTCCTGGACTTATGTAGCTGGTTAGACCTCTCCAACCCCTCCCCTTGTCCAGAGGTAGGGCGCTGCGTATCATCATCGTCATCGTCATCGTCTTCGTCATCGTCATCGTCATCGTCATCGTCATCGTCGTCGTCGTCGTCGTCGTCGTCGTCGTATCATCATCATCATCATCATCATCATCATCATCATCATCATCATCATCATCATCATCATCATCATCATCATCATCATCATCATCATCATCATCATCATCATCATATGGAATTCGAACACGTAGAAAGTCGTGGAAACCCCAAATTGACTCTTCCTGTGTTGATCTGCGTACGCGCGGATTTCCAAGCGAGACGCGGTCGCCACCACGAGGCCCTTCAGGCGGGGTGCGAAGCCAAAGCCCACGCCCAAGCACTACGGACCATTGCGAGTACCAACGAATCCAATTACCACTGGCTGTTGGCTCCAGCAACATAGTAACAAAGGGTTTGCATAGTTGCCAGCTTCCCCACCCCGAGCTTCTCCTTTTCACGTGCTTGATCGCTCAACCGACCTCATGGGGCTACCGAAGGCTTAATCAGCTGACTTAGGGTTTGCGTAGGCGTTGCCGCAGCCCCCCCAATTCAACCAGTGGAACCACCCAAAAGGGCCCTTTTGGAACCGCAAAAGGGGCAGGAGCCACTTGGTGATCGGATCGGATCTTTTTTGCTCACTGAACTTTCACGCCCGCGCCGCTCTTCAGCACAGATCTTAGGCCGAAACCCCGCTTCGCGGACTCGTGCCCTCAGCCCAAACTCCAGGGCTGCCTTGGCATAACATGCAGAGCTTGAAGCGAAGGGTCACTGGCACCATACATAGAACGACTCAAGCTCCAAACCTCTCCTTCCAAGCTCTGTTTGGAGAAGACATGCAAGCATCTTGGATGCGTTTTGCGCGCCCCTCAATTAAACACTCTCGATGCCTCGCCGTGTTCTGCCTAGATCGTCATGAACTTCTCGCTCCAAAAGATTGATCAAGACATGAAGGTCCTGCCGACGCCTCTCGAGTCCTTCATAAAGGGCATGGCCTGCTGCGTTTTTCAGCACAAGGCCTACAGCAGGTCTGCCGTTGAAAATATGGCCACAGCCTTGCTGAGCCCAAGTGACCTAACACAGGAGTGCCACCCTTCAAGTCCTCATGTCCTGAAAAGCAAAAAGAAGGAGAAAAACACACCTCCCTCTAACAATCAAAATCCCCTCCAAAAAACGCCAACCACAGGTAGGCACTCAAAAGAAAGGCTACAGAAACCCCATTGCCCTGGCCGTTGCTTCGCCTAGTCCAAGACCAGGCTTCGGATGTCCCGGCTCTCCACGCGCGAGGGCGGCGAGGATTTACTGGCGCGCGGGGTCGAGGGCACTCGGCTTGGCAGTTAAGCAAACTGGCGTCTTCTTGAGGGTACCCCCTGTTTGCGCGGTTTCCAAGAAAAAGAAAACAACGAGCAGCTGGGTTCCTTTTTGGATGGCTCCAAAACAACGGTCGACACACCCGACTTGGTCGCAAGGCCATGGTTCAGCCTCTCACACAAACAAAGCCCAGAGAAGAACATCCCATTTATGTGACGAAGCACTGTTTGTTCTTCTTCTTCTTTTTCCGGATCCCACTCTCAGTCACAAGCGCTCAGCGAACCTCTGCGCAAACCCCGCCTGAAGGAGCGGATGTGTCGCCCCAGGCGCTGCTCCAGGAACTGGTGCCAGGCCGCCGCCTGGCCCCCCGAGTCGCCCGAAGCGAAGCGCAAAAGACGCCGGCGAGGCTCGAGAGTTGGTCCAGCTCATGCAAAACCCATGCTGAACACGGAGAGAAAACCGAGCGGCCCTGGCAAAAGCAGCTTCCTCGACCAGTAAAGAACCGACAGGTGATGACAAGCTCCTTGCCTGCGCTGATACGTGGCCACCTGGCAAAGGAACGCTGACATCAGAGCCTCTTCGGTAAAGCCAGCAGTCTATACTCACAGGGCCGAACCGCGTTGCTCTGCCAATGGTTGAAAGCCAGGCAACCGCAAATAGTTGCGCTCAACTTGAAATCAAGCTTGGGCAGAACTCATTTCGACAACCAGCCCTTGCACCCCTTTGAAGCGAAACCCCAAGGAGGTCGTTTACACAATGGTGGCTTATGATTGTATGGGCACATTGTAAGGGAGTCCTGCCCTTTGAAGAAACCGTTGCACATGGGCCCAAGTTGTTCTTGAAGGATCACAACGTTTCTCAATAGAAAATCGTCTGGCCGGCGCCTTCCTTCTCGATGGGCGGGAGTCGTGGCGTCTGAGTCTTTGCCTGAAATACTGCGACTTCAACACGCAATACGAAAACACGAACACATGGACTGTAGGTGCAGCACACTGACCCAAAGCTGGCCAGCTTTGGGTGGACTTGACTCATGCATATCTGCCGACCCCTTGTCAGCATAGGCGAGGGAAGTGTGCTCTTTCAAGCGTGGGGGCGTCAAGCTTTTCATGGCATCAGGCCTTTCATTGATGATGACAACAAGGATTATCATCATCATCATCATCGTCATCGTCAGCGTCAGCGTCATCGTCGTCATCTTGATCGTCATCATCATCGTCAGCGTCATCGTCGTCCTCTTGATCGTCATCATCGTCAACGTCATCATCATGGTCAGCGTCATCGTCGTCCTCTTGATCGTCATCATCATCATCATCATCATCATCATCATCATCGTCATTGTCAGCGTCAGCGTCATCGTCGTCATCTTGATCGTCATCATCATCATCATCATCATCATCATCATCATCATCGTCATCGTCAGCGTCATCGTCGTCATCTTGATCGTCCTCATCATCATCATCATCGTCATCGTCAGTGTCATCGTCGTCAGCGTCATCGTCGTCATGTTGATCGTCATCATCATCATCATCATCGTCATCGTCATCATCATCGTCATCGTCATCGTCAGCGTCATCGTCGTCATCTTGATCGTCCTCATCATCATCATCATCATCATCATCATCATCATCATCGTCATCGTCAGCGTCATCGTCGTCATATTGATCGTCATCATCATCATCATCATCATCATCATCATCGTCATCGTCGTCAGCGTCATCGTCATCATCGTCATCGTCATCATCATCGTCACCAGCATCATCGTCATCATCATCATCATCATCAGCAGCAGCAGCATCACCCTCATCGTCATCATCATCATCATCAGCAGCAGCATCATCACCATCATGAGCAGCATCCATCATCGTCGTCATCGTGGTGATGATGATGATGGTGATGGTGATGGTGATGGTGATGGTGATGGTGGTGCTGGTGATGGTGATGGTGATGATGCTGATGCTGATGCTGATTCTGATGCTGATGCTGATGATGATGATGACAATGATGATGATGATGATGATTATGATGATGATGATGATGATGATGATGATGGTCATGATGGTGATGGTGATGGTGATGGTGGTGGTGATGGTGATGGTGATGGTGATGGTGATGATGCTGATGCTGATTCTGATGCTACTGAGGATGGTGATGATGCTGCTGCTGCTGCTGATGATGATGATGATGACGATGAGGGTGATGCTGATGATGATGACAGCATCAGCATCATCAGCATCAGCATCATCACCATCACAATCACCATAACCATCACCAGCATCATAATCATCATCATCATCATCATCATCATCATCATCATCATCATCATCATCATCATCATTGTCATCATCACCAGCATCATCATCATCATCAGCAGCAGCATCACCATCATCACCACCACCACCACCATCACCATCACCACCACCAGCACCAGCACCATCGTCATAATTATCATAATCATCATCATCATCGGCATCATCATCACCATCAGCATCAGCATCAGCATCAGCGTCAGCATCATCACCATCACCATCACCATCACCAGCATCATCAGGATCATCATCAGCAGCATCAGCATCATCACCACCACCATCACCATCACCAGTTTTGTCCATGAGGGAAAAAGCCCAACTCCTGCACAATCTAACCCTTGCTCTGCCAAAACGGCTCCTGAATCAAAATGCCACTTACAAACTCAAAATGCAAACTGCAAAAACTGAAGCCACCTGCCGAATCAATGTCCCACCAAAAAAGCGCCACCTCCAACTGAAAGCACAACTCCTGCACAATCTAACCCTTGCTTTGCCAAAACGGCTCCCAAATCAAAATGCCACTTACAAAATCAAAGTGCAAACTGGAAAAACAGAAGCCACCTGCCGAATCAATGTCCCACCAAAAAAGCGCCACCTCCAACTGAAAGCACAACTCCTGCACAATCTAACCCTTGCTTTGCCAGAACGGCTCCCAAATCAAAATGCCGCTTACAAAATCAAAATGCAAACTGCAAAAACAGAAGCCACCTGCCGAATCAATGTCCCACCAAAACAGCGCCACCTCCAACTGAAAGCCCAACTCCTGCACAATGTAACCCCCGCATACGCCAAAACGGCTCCTGAATCAAAATGCCACTTACAAACTCGAAATGCAAACTGCAAAAACAGAAGCCACCTGCCGAATCAATGTCCCACCAAAAAAGCGCCACCTCCAACTGAAAGCACAACTCCTGCACAATCTAACCCTTGCTTTGCCAAAACGGCTCCCAAATCAAAATGCCACTTACAAAATCAAAGTGCAAACTGCAAAAACTGAAGCCACCTGCCGAATCAATGTCCCACCAAAAAAGCGCCACCTCCAACTGAAAGCACAACTCCACAATCTAACCCTTGCTTTGCCAAAACGGCTCCCAAATCAAAATGCCACTTACAAAATCAAAATGCAAACTGCAAAAACAGAAACCGCCAGCCAAAGCGCTACCTCCAAATGAAAGTCCAGCTCCTACACAACGCAACCACTGTTTGCCCAAAAAGCTGCACAAACCAAAAGCTTGCTGACAAAATCAAACAAACGCCAGCCGCAAAGCAGAAGCCACCTGCCAAACCAAAACGACACCTCCGAGCAAAAGTCTAACGCCCGCGCAATGCCGCCGCTACTTGCGCAAACAGCTGCAAAAAGTGCGAAGGCCGCGTACAAAATCAGATCAAGCTGCAGCTCCCAAACGACAGTCCAACTCGTACATGGTGTGACCACTATAGTTCCTATATTTTTGAAACTTCCACCAAAACGGCTTCGACGGCTCTACTGGTATTCCTCGTAAGAGGGAACCTGAGTGCCCGCCGTAGACAAATTTCGGGGATTCCATTGGACCGCTGAAACCTGTTTCTAGCATTGCTCACCACACCTGCGAACCAGCAACCGTCCACGGGAAGTGACGGGGTCGACACCAGGGACGCCCCGTCACAAGTCTTGGGTCAGCACCAGGACCGCCCGGCAAGACCCCCACAGACAATCTCCAGTTTGCGGGCATGCTAAGCAACGCTAGAAACATGTGTTGTTGGTCCAAGGGAGTCTCCCTTTTTCACCCAACAACAGCAGGAAGCGCATCTGCAGGCGCCCGCCCCTCCCCAAGTTGCCCCAAGAAGGTGAGACAAAAAAGAGGGGCAACACACGTGTGGCAAGGGATGGGGGCAACGACTTGAGAACATAAGAGAACAACAACAAGCATCCCATCTCCAGATTGCACCAGGCGGCCCTTAACTTTGGAGCAACATCAGATCTGAAAAATGGGAACCAAAACGAAAAACATGACTCCACTCCTACAAACCAACTCTCGGTTAACTTTTAGTGTTTTGATGAAAAACCCATGAGTTGGCAAAAAGCTACAGTCCTAACATCCCTTGGCAAAATGCACCAAAGAACTGCTTGGCACGCTGCGTCTGGATCACAAGGAGACCTGGATCGGGATCTGGATCTCCTGCCGGCTACCCGGTCAATCATTGCACGTAAGGCTCCACCTGCTCGGCTGCAACCCGCTGCAAGAGGTGAGTCATAAACAAAACGGATTGGTATCAAAATGGTCGTAGTCCCACAACCGCGTGAAGAACTAAGCAGCCGGGGAAAGCACCCATTGACCAGCACTTGCTTACAAATGGTTTTGTAGTCGCATAGATGTTTTGCCAAAGTGCAGTGAAAGGTCACTTTTGTTGAAACGTCACTTCAGGATAGAGGGGATCCAGTTGAGGGCTTGGGCTGACACCTTTCATCTGCCCGGGTTTTGTTTACTCTGAACTCCCACGAGGCTCCGAGGACTCTCCTGCGCTCTCTGGAGGACAACACCCGCTGCAGCGGAGCTCTCTCAAAGCCTCGGTCTCTCCGCTCAGGCCAAAGCAAACTGAGCAAACTAGTGAAGGACATGAAGGAAACAGGCAAATGTGGCCTACCCCCAGTGAACATCCTATTCAATCCCCACTAAAATAGGCTCTAAAATGGGTGGTGCACCTACCCCACACAGCCATATCTGCTCCACTACCTTCTCTCCACTGGAACGCTCCAGACACAGCCAGACCTGTCAACATGGGCCCCTCTGAAAACCAAGCGATCAAAACAAAGCTCCGCTGAAACTCAACACCTGCCCTTTTACCCAAAAAGCCAGTGTCTCGGTATCTTGGTTCACTGGACCGCGAGACCCCGGCTCTGCAGGTACTTGAGCATCTCCCGGGCCTGCGGACAATGCAAAAGGGGGGTCCGGCGCCACGGTTTGGAGTAAGTTGTTCAAGGGGAACGGGGATCCGGATGCGTTACACACCTGAACATTGCAACTTGTACATGGTGGTGTGTCCCTTTATTCTGCTGGAAAAAGCGACATGTTTCAAATGGTTGCAAAATGGAGATCTTTGAAGGAGCCCTGGAGAACCAAGCGGAGCACTGACGTTTAAAGGGACAAGGGGAAAAGCAAGATCCATGTGGGTCCCCCAAAACCAAAAAAAAGCTGGGCCGTCAAAACGGACATCAAAAGTTCGTAAACCGAAATCCGGGCCTTCTGGTTGACCTCGCTCGCATCTGGCGTCCCACTCCTGGAAGTGGATTGCTGCAGTTCAGCGATCCGGAACTAGTCTTCATTCAAACATCTCACAAGTTCCCTGTGCACGAATCTTCCCCCAACGAAAATACAAAAAACCACCCGCCGCAGCGCGACCAGAGGGCTGGCGCCTTTCGGTTCTGGAAGCCCGCCGCGCGCTCAAAGGCTGCAGCTCGCCTGGCGCGACGGTCTCCGGCCCTTGCGGCCGGTTGCAAGTTGGCGGGGAGAGCCGAGGTTCAGAGTTTTGAGGCCAAAGTCCCCAAGCATCAGATGCAAGTTGGAGCCTCCCAAAGTCCTTTCAAAGCCCCCAAAGCCCCCTGCAAAGTCCCACTCGTCGGATCGTTTCCCCCTCTCGGATCGCCTAGCTGAAGCTTCGGCACGCCGCCTTTGAGACCTCACGTCGCCGGCCGGAACAACCCCCTGGCCGTTTTGGGCTCGAGAGCCGTTTTTCGACCCACCCACGAGGCCGCAGCTGGAGAAGTGAGGCAGCGGGGCCTTCTTGGGCCACAGCGGCGCGATCTCCTCGGGCTTCCTGCCATGGAGCGATGAGCGGATTTTTGACTCAACTGAACTGAGTCACAATCAAGACCCGGTATTATTGAAATGGTTGACCCAGAACCATGTCTAATGAAATACGAAGCCGGATATCCGCAACTATTTATGGCGGGGATTGTCCCTTATTAACCTTCATCTACCCGGGTTTGATTGTGGCGCAACTGTAGATCCAAGCAACAACTCATTGGTCCGTTGCCCTCAGTGAGACGCTCAGGTCTGGCAAATCGACAGGCATCGACAAAGACGGGGGCTGAATCGAAAGACGCCGGGGCACGCGACCATCGGCACCGGCAACGGGGCCACTGGTGGCCTGAAGATTCCACGGTCCAAATATGTAGCTACCCAAAAAGGCAATGGGGGAAATGAGCGACCCCCCCGTTTCGGTCAGAAACTCTCTAAGTTGAGTCCCCCAACGTTCCCCCCCCCCCCCAAAAAAAAAAAAAAACACAAAGGAAAAAATGCTGTTTGATCGCAGGCATGTTTTAGTGCAGGCAGGCGGCAGCAGCGTTGGGGCATCTGCTCGGCTGTTGTCACCTTGGCGCTCGTCCCTTCCTCTCGTTGTCGCATTTTAGGGCCGCATGGAAGCTATGGTCGTTGAGCCCAAAAGTCCGAACCTGCAAAACTCTGTACACAGAGCCTATCGAAGGCATTTGCACCATGTGGGCGCCCAGGTTGGTGCAAACCCGAGCAAAGCAAAACCCTCCAGCCTGCCCGGCGATGGAACAGCATGAGGTTCATCTTCAGCCGCTCTTGCGCCTTCGCCAAAAAGAAAGAAAGAAGTGTGGCTCAAAAACAGGGATCCCCAAACTTGGTTGCTGTTAACCCCTCTCCAAAAAGTTTACCTTTTTGCGGGTTCCATGGAAACCCTTAATTTCCCACAAAGTTAAAATCCAAAGATCCAACCCAATAGCAATCGAGCCAAAGGGAAGGCCCTTGGTACGTGGAAGCAAAGCTCTTTGACCCAAATTGGCCGGTCAAATGTGAGCTCCGGAGCTCGGTCCCGGCCTCGTCCACTGGCAGCTCTGCCATCTTCCTCGACAGGCGATTGAGCCCGGGGAGTCGCGCTTGCTTCTTTTTTTGGGGGGCTGCCTTTGGGAAAGTCCGCGGTGCGCCCGAGAAAACCAGGGGGTTGTCTCACACTAGGATGTTATTTATTTTCCCACCTCTAAAGCAGCTGCGGTTCCTTCTGGTTTCTCTTTGAACAAATGGCCGTGGGTCAAAACCGCTATGGGATCCCATTTTGGGGGAGGTGCACCACCCATTTTAGGACCTATTTTAGTGGGGATTGAATCGGATGTTCACTGGGGGTACGGGCTTTGGATTTTGACCCATGGCCAAACTCTGCAAAAAGGCGCCCCTATCGCCCCAAAAGGCGCCCCCACCCCACGCGGTTCGGTTTGTTGTGGGGTCTCCTGGGAGGCAGCAGCGACATCTTCCGCATGGTGCCGATCTTCCCCTCCTCGCAGCCTCGCGTGTCTCAGCTTCCGTGTCTTTGATGCGAGCGGCACGTCTTTTGGTTGGCTTTAAAGGGAAACCAAAAGGAAAACCGAAATCTAGGAAAACACAAACCACTGCCACGTGGATCGCTTTTGCCGTGTCTCTGACTCGTGTCACAACGAATGCTAGCCCCCTATCAAAGAGACACTCAGTTGGTCGACTGAGTGGTGGCTGCCTGCTCCTGTTTGTGTTCAACGACTGGTTAAGCCATGTCTTGAGTAACTGTTGCCAAATGAAGCAAGTGTTTTCACACGTCTACACGTAGAAGTAATTTGTTCTTGTCTGTTTCATGCTTTATCCAAACAGGTGGACAGATCATGTCCAAGGCTCGATTGCATATTGCCAGACATGGACTTGCCATGGAGACAAACCCACATATTATCCGTCGGAAGCTGGGCGGAGACCAGCCTGGCTCCTTCGGGGTGTAGATCTTGGGCGCCTCCAAAGCGAGGTCCGGACATGTCCGGACAGTGTCAGGTGTGGGCAACTAGCACATGACGTTGTATGACCCCATATCTAGCGACTCACCTTGCTAGATGCTAGGTTTAGGAGGACGACCACCGAGATCCACACAACTGGCCCACTGATCCAGAAACCAACCGGTTTGGAGGCGTGCTTTTTCTTCTTCTGGATTTCACCTCATTTTCACACCCTGTGGGTCCTTTCCTATGGCAAACCTCCCACGGCCTCGGGCGCTTTCACCGGCGCCACGCCCGGAGGCGCCAGCAGCGCGCCCGCCGGCGGCGGCGACGGCGCCGGCGCCGGCGAGGCCGGGGACGGAGCCGGGGCCAGTGGGACGGGCGGGACCAAAACGGGCGCCTGCACGTGGGGTCGAGGCACATCACAGTTCTTTTCTCAAAACAGTCACCTGAACCCCTGATATGAGTGCCCCTCAAATTTTCCGCTTGGCTGTAGGTCGAGACTGGGTACCCAACATGGGATGGACCAAACTCCTGCGGTGCGGCGACCCACCCATCTTGAGAAACCCATTCCGCCGGCGGTGCGCGCGCCAGCGCGCCTCTCGCTTGGTCCAGCCAGAAAGCACCGGCCGCACGGAAGGCACTTGTGGCTTCATCACCTGGCGAGGGCCGCATGGGTCGCATGATTACTCCAACGAGCGAGCCGCTTGAATCGGAGGCAAATCCCTTTGCCGAAGCCGAATTGAGGTTCTGGCTATCCAACGAGCATTTCAGTTCGAACGCTTCGACTGCGATGGCTCGTTGAATTGCAGCTCGTTGCTCAAAGTGCGAACACTGACCCATGAGAGTGGAAGACCCAATGCAAAGAATCCAGGCGGCAAGCAGCTAATCTTAACTTCTGGAATGATCTGGACACTCCAAGGCACCGACAAACAAGTTCAACCACCGCCACGCTCCCGGATTCCCGAAAGCTCACTCACTTTTGGTTCCAACCTCGTGCTTCCACAAAACCTACGGGCTTACTTGTTGGCCTTACAACACCTTCACGACAGCCGCCAGACTCCTCTAAAACATGGCCCCCGCTTGGGCCTCGGCCTCGGCCTCACCTCCCCTCCCCTCCCGCCTGCACCTTGGGCGGCGTGATCTCACGCTTCGGGCTCCGGGGGCTCCGCGGGCTCCGCGGGCTCGGGCTCTCGTGGCTCCGAGACCGATCACGCCGCTCGCTGCGGTAGTGGGTCACCTCGGCGAGCGGTGATTTGGAGTCGGGGCAAGGGCCGACCAAAACTGCGGCTCAGGTTTCCTGGGAGAAACGTCTGCGGTTGCTCCCTTTGGCATCTCTCATATCCCTCAGTCCGAATCTGAACATCCGAGTCCGAGCCCACAGATTTCAGCAACCGTCCCAAGAAAGAGGAATGGATCGATAAATCTCTGGATGGACGCGAGATATCGATCTCTGGCCTCTGATCTAGAACCGAGCTTTCCTTGCAGTATAGTCACAACACGAACCATTACAAACAAATGGAATCCGTCCAATACCCACACTTGACCTTGCGTGCGCTGTCCGGGAAGCCATGGTTCCCTAAATCTTCCCTTTAAACATCACCTCACCTAAGTGAACATCCATTGAAGCCCCAAAAGGTGATGTTCAAACCCTCCAAAAGGGGGAATATGAGGGGTGTCGCTTTCTCCTCCTCTTTGGGTTGGCAGGGAAACCCGAAGGAAAATGGAATCCATTTAAATCCTGTTCTCAAACAAACGCTTTCAAGGACCCGACATCGACCAAATTCAACCAGCCGAAAGGCCAGCATGGGGCCCAACTCGGTGACCAACGCCCGGCGCTGAACCAAGCTGCCTCGGCGCACCTGAGAAAAGGAGAAAAAAAGAAAACGCTTCCAAGCGTCCTCGACTTGGATGGAAGTCCCAAAAACGTGTCAGAAGAATCTCCTTTGGGGGCCTCTCTCTTCGCCTTGGAATGATTGGCCCTTTCTGCTCAGGCCATTGAAGGGGGCCTAAATTCTATGGATCAAAAGCCAAACGAGACCCGCCCGCCTGTGTCGACATCCGCCTTGCCGTCGGCACCGCTTCAAGCTTCCGGGCGGCATCCTGGATGCCACTCGCGCGGTGTCCCACGAGCAGTGGCCCACCCGGCAGCCCGGCGGGGGCGCAAAAGTCCCAAAAACAAACCGAAGGGCCGGACACCCCACCTTCTTGGGAGGCCTCGCCCGGGCTCTTGACTTCCAGGGCCTGTCTCTGTTTTTCATTTCAGGCCACTCCTCCAACGCAAAACCAACGTCGAAAACCCACCCTTTTTTTGAAAGGGGGGGGGAAGGGGGTCCCGGATCTTGAGCCCCGCACCCACACGAGAGCCCCTGAAAGATGAAAGCTCGCCGCTTGAGCCCGCCTGGGCCCTCTTCTTGCGCTTTGACACCTTCCTCTCGATCAACTCCCGCGTGAGGGAGCGCTCGTAAAGGCTCTTCGCGGCCTCCTGCAAGTAGGATGCCGTGAAGAGACGTCGAGGTTTTCTCGGTTTGCTTTCTGCTCCCCTGCTAAAAGTTTAACTTTTAGTGGTTTAATTCGGAAACCCCGTGAGTTGGCAAAAAGTTGTAAGTCCTAGCATCCCTTGGCAAAATGCCCCAAAGTCTTGTTTTGGTCGGTGTCTTGATGTTGACCCCGGAGTTCGCCTCGGCTGGGCCGGGAGGCAACCTTCAAAGGGAAACCGCCTGGACCGGATCGGTTCCCCGATGTTGCAGCCGGAGATCGAGCTGTGAGTTCCGCTCGGAATGAATGGGAGCCACCGAAAGCAAGTCACGTGATGCTCAAGCTATGCCCGCGCAACTTTCAACGAACCAGAAACGAGTCCATGATGTCATAGAGCCTTCCACTGAGATTGCGCTCGTGTGTGCCAAACAACCCCAGGCTCTGCTCTTGCTTCTGTCGTCTGATCCTTCTGTGGAGTGGTCCACGAACGTCGGAAGATCGAACTCCCCCGACCTTCGATCGTGGCAAGCGGCCAGTCTCAACCGAGCAAGAATCACAACCGGGCACTCAAAAGATTCTACCCAAAACCAGGAGTCAGACTTGCTTGTTTTCCGGTAGGCATGGGGAAGCAGGTGAGTCCCCCCGGGTTGTGGGATTTTGTATAGGAGTGTCTCTGCCAAATGCACCACAGACAGAATCAACAGGGCAAATTCAAGCCGCACGGCTTTCTGGCTGGGGCTATCCCCTGCATCCCGGGGTGTGATTCTGACTCTGGCGGATCCTTCGCAACCAGCCGAAAAAGAGTTGCCGATGTGCAGCCAAGCGGGCGGAAGTCTTTCAAGCCTCGCAGGGACTTCCTCTCTCTGGTCGGAGACTTGCTCGTCTCCTTCCGTCGGACAAGTTCGTTCCACACGCAAAGCGCCTCTTGCCTTTCATGATGCTTGTCTCAGCGCAAAAGCGCACATGTACACGTGCTCGTGATATCTTGTCATCACATTCGCTGGCACCCAGCCTTTGATCGGCCCCGCAGTTTGCCAAACGAGGGGACCGGAGCGGGCTCTCTGCACACATCCTCGGCCAAAACCGACCATTCGCAGCTCAGGCTTCGCAGCTTTTGAGGCCGGCGAGCCACGGGGACCCATCAGCTTTCCCCCAAATTTGCGCAAGATGAGTCCTTGCTTGGCAGGGAGGGTCAAATGCGCCACAATCAAAACCTGGTATTAAAATGGGGAACCCAGAACCATGTTTCAAGAATTAAGAATATCCGCAGCTACTTGTGGTTGGGATTGTCCCTTACTAACCTTCATCAATCCCCAGGTTTTGAGCACGTCGCTCAAATTCTGTCCACCAGCTTTCCCTCCCAGTTCTGCGCGAGGCACTGCGAACTTCACCACACCGCCCTCCAGCTTCACGAATCCAGACGGGCTTGGACTGCGGCCTGGGATCTGCGGCATATGGACGCGGCATGGGGCGCCATTGGGGGCGGGGGGGGGGGGGGTGTCCCTTGTCAAGGGCTTGTGCGTACCACAAAGAAAGAAGCTCATGAAAATGAAAGTACCTCAAAAGTACCACAAAGTACCTTTCAACAGCTTGTCTCCAGCAATGAAGCTCATGGGGTGCCTGCTCGGTACAATCTCTGCACCTGAATCAATAATAGCACTCAATCGAAATAGAAACTAGAATGAGCATCGACGAGTCGGTAAGACTGAAAGCAAGTGTCTGTGTGTTTCTTTTGAGGGGTCCGTTTTTTTTCCCCGTTTCTACCCATTTTGCGGGGCTCCAACCTAAGAAAAGACACCCCTAAGTGTGTTTATACTCCGTGCTTACATTTCTGCTGCCATGCTTACATTTCTGCTGCCATGCTGCGGATTTTCGTGGGCATGAAGATGCGAGCCGCACGGCCGGAAAAGCCTCGCGAAATGCTGTTCGAGGCTGCTAAAACGCCCAGCCTGGTGAGTGCTTTCGAGAATCACGAAATCAAACCTGGTAAGTGGCCTACACAAAAACTATGTAAAGAATCAAGAGGGTGGACATGCGCACCAATTTCTGGCTGGACCATCAAGTACTCACCTTACAACCTTCACCTACCCGGGTGTGAGTTGCAATGAGTCATGGCCCCTTTGGTGCACATCAGAATTCGGAATTCGGCGGATTCACGCGCCACCACTTGTCAGGCGGCTCCAAGCTTGCAAAACTCAGAGCCACCCACCAACCAACACATGGAACCTGACGTTTCGGGGGGTCTGGTTTAGGACCGTTCTCCCTTTAAAGGGACCCACTGCCGCGAACGTCAGGTTCCACGTGCCCCGCCTGCTGAGAAGTGGCTCGGTAAATCGCCCTCCTCCTTGGCGGGAAAGAAGCCTCAGCAAAGGCCGGGCCAGGCACCGGTCTGCGCGGGAACACGTGGCTCCCCCCCTGGAGGGCATTGCTTGTTGTTTGTTGTATTATTATTTGTTTCAGAAAGGGGAGAAAACAAGGAAAATGGAATAGATGGGCGTGTGTGTGCTTTGAAGCGAAGAAGAACCTTGTTCCAGGTTTCGAAGTTGTTCCAGGGCAACGCCTTTCTCGCAACGGGGTGAAGATCGGTGAGTCAAACGGATTCTGAAGCGATATGCGAAGAGACGGCTGGAGAACCGGTTCAAGAAAGCGCCAGCTTATCCGAGGATCTCGTGGATAGGAAACAAGCAGCCTCCAACCATAGGTGTCCTTCTGGGAAAATGGATGGCCCTGATAGATTATGAAACAAACAGGTCAACCAGGAATCACCATCTATGTTCTATACCAACATGCCTCCAACCAAATTTCCCAACAGGCAGCGTCACAGGTCTCGTGTCTTGCTGGTGCTCAGTAGGGAATGAGACATGGAATGAACCCCAGGCTTTGGTCCCCCTTAAAGGAGCACCGGTTGGATGGTTTTTCTTGGGGGTCATGAGCCATGTCTCATTCCCTGCCTCTCTCCACCAGCAAGTTGTCAAATGGGTGTGGGTCCAAATTAGTTGCCCGGAATTGGACCGCAGGTGAGTCATAACCAAAACCCGGTATTGAATTAAGGAGGCGGCCGCGGCGATTTGTGATTGGGATTGTCCCTTACTAACCTTCATCTACCCGGTTTTGATTTTGGACCGCAGGTGAGAAGTTGTCCAGGATTCCAGTTGGCTATTGGGCAATCCATTTTGGGGCTACCAGCGATTTTTGAGATGGGACCCAAATCGAAGCCGAGCGGCTCCTGCGAGGGCTAGCGCTCCGCCGGAGGCTCGGCGACAGCGAGGGGGAGGCTCGGACCTGGGCGAGAAAACGTTCCCCGAGGCTTCTTTCGGGTGTGTCGCATTTCTAAGCCCCCTCCCCCAAACAAAAATAGTAATAAAAATAGTGGCTTCCCTTTGAAACCACCCCCCCAAAAAAAAAAAATAAAAAAAAAAATGAAATAATGACAGAATGGTGGTGTTCCTCTTGGCTTCCCTAGAAAACAGAAAAACGAGGGCGTACCCCTCAAAACGAGACAAACGAATGTGGGGTTGTCGGCAGAGGGAGAAGAAAAAAACAACGCTTCCTTTCTGGACTTCCTTTCAAAAAAAAACATCCAAAAGGAGGGTGCCGTTCGGTGTTGGACCCCCTCCCCCCCGGACTCGCTCGAGGCTCCGCAGCGAATCAAAAGTAGGCAGCTAGAAAATGGTGTCAACTGATATTCGACGTGCAAACTTTGCCCAAGTTGTTGGTTTCTGCATTGGGAATGCAGCTCCTCCATGCTTTGGCTTCTCCATTGGTCAAAGGGCACCCCTCAAACCTTTGAAAAGGAGCTCCGCTCTTTGATTGGAAGGTCCGGTGGCATCTGTTTGTTGCTCACAAGTGCCAGTCTTTCCTACGTTTTTCCAGACCGACGGGACCAACCCGTACATCACACAGGCTTGGCCGCGTTCCTGCAGGTCTCTTCGTGCGGAGCTGAGAAGCGGCGCATAAGGATGCCCTGAAATCAGTCTGGCGTGGGGCAGTCTGAGCGAGAAGCTTCTCCGAAATCATGTTGACTTTGACTTGGCATGAGAGTGTGAAAGGCTGATTCTGGGACCTTTGGCTGCTTTGGCTGGCTATCAACCCGAGCCAGACTGGACTGGGCGGCCCAGCGGGTCCCCGCCAAGTCCGAGCCTTCTGGACGGGCGATTCGTCGCCTCGGCTTCTGTCGGGGAGGGGTTCCGAGGTGATTTTGAGTTGGTACCGGTTGGTTTGGTTTGGCTTTAAAGGGAAAGCGAAAGGAAAACCGAAATCCATTTCTTTTTGTGCGGGGGCCCTACTTTAAGAGACTCAGAGACGCCCAAGCGCGACCAAATCGACCTTCAATCATCTCGCCTGACTCCGCTGACTTGTCCTCGGCTGCGAGATCGCCTGGGATTTCAAATCGGCCCCGATCACGGAGTGTGCGTGAGTCTTCTCCCACAAACATAGCATCTGTGTGCCGGCACCTGGAAGATTCGATCCATGTCCTTTTCCAGGGAACTTCTGTCAGGTGCTATCTTAGTGGAAGGAAGGGATGACCCATGCGAATCAAAGCCAACAGTTCCGGATCCACCCCAATTGACCGCACAGGGAAAGCCTTTGAGCTATGGCTCGCTCAGCCTATCGGCCTGAAGAAACAAATTTATCTTCCGGCATGAGGAGCGGAACAAGCGAGGTGGAGTGTTTTACCCCACTGCGCTACCTCTTTTGTGGCAAGGCAAGGCATGAACATGCCCTCTCCTTATGCCTTTGGGCCACATGACATTCCTCTTGCAGCTTCAGGTTACCAGAGTCACATTTCAAGAGAATAACATCACATGTTACAGGCACCAATGGCAGAGTTGAAATCCAGCGCCTGAGCTCTGCTTCTCTTCAAGGGGGAATCGCATTGGAATATGCGAATGCGAAAACCTTACGGCGAAGTACGACCTCCTTGACACGTCCCGCGTTCCTCAAGCTCTCCGAAAAAGTCAGCTTCAGACTGTCAAAAGACCAGCTTTCAACAAGCCCCTAAATCAGGACCCCAACCAATGGTAGTGTTCCCCTTCGTTTCCATCTCAAAAAGCAAACCCATAGGGTACCAACTCACATCCGCAGCTGGGCTCCGCGCCTAGCCAAAAGCGCCTTCGCTCCGCCAGGGCCTTCGGGTCCACGCTCTCCATACTCCTAAGCTCGGGGCTTCGGCTGGAACGCCGAGATTTTTTTCTTCCCGCGGAATTTGGCCGGTGCACCTACCCCAAAAATGGTACCATTGGTTTTGACCCGCAGCCGTTTGAGCCTATGCCTGGCCCCAGAATTTGACCAAAGTCACCCAAGTGGCAGGTTCGAGACAAACAAACATGTCCATTTTCTGACTTGCCCCCCAGAAACAGTATGCTCAATGGAGGAAAAGGCCCATCAGGGACTCCAGGTTCTCCTCCACACCCGAATCCCTTAGTTCCTTTCTGCACTGGCCAGACGGAAAGAGGGCCGCAAGGCGTCAACGTCACCAGCCGGCACGTCTGCCAAGGCACGTCTTCGCTCTCGTCACCCGTTCCCTGAGCAGCGCCGAACTTGTGGCATGGGCCCGGAGAAAACGATGGATCCATGTACACCAAGTTGGGCCCTTATTGCAGCGTCTGTCTGCGGGAGGCTCTGTTTCCGTCGAGTTCCCCCATCCCATGCCCATTTCGTGGTCAACCGCAACCCGCGATGGATATGAAGTTCACATGAGCTTTGTCCACTGCCAGGCGCTTGGGGATTTTTTCCATGACCATGGGTATGCTGATCATGGCGCAGTTGCAAGATCTCTGTGATTGCAGCCGCGTAACGACGTATCGTCCTGGCGGCAGCTGGTGCACATATCAATTCGAAGCATCATGGCATCATGTTCGCGTCTTCGGGTCAACTCCTCAAAGTCAATGAGTCAACCCTCCCCCCTCCAAAAAAAAAACAGCTCCCTCCCCCCCCCCCAAAAAAAAAAGAAAAAAGAAAAAGACACCTGGAACGCCTTCAAAACACGGCAGTCCGTCGCAGCCGAGCAGTCGCATGGCCCCGGGATCGCGTCCAGCGCTCCTTGACCTTCTGCGGCCCTCCGAAGGTGAAGTGCCCGTGCACCCGCATCGCCTGGCAAGAAAAACAAAAAAACGCCCCCCCCATGGGACCCGGGTGCAGGGCGTGTTTTTGTGCCCAAGAAAATTTCGGTTTAAAAGAGGATGCCGAAAAGAGATCTTCGCCGGAGCTTTGAGCGACTCGGAAGCTGACGTGAATGTCGGAATCTGGAAGACTGAATCTAAAGAGAGCCAGATGGTTTGTTTTGTTCCTGGGAATCTGGAAGGCTGAATCTTTCGAGCGCGGCATTTCGACATTTCAGGAACCCCAGCCTGGAGCTGGGAGTGCGACGGGCTGTCCGCGCCCTGAGACCTGAACGGCAACGTGGCCGCTCGACGTCAAAAAGCAGCCGCAGGTTCAATCGTAAAGAATTCAGGGCATCCTTCCATCTGACCCCACCGGTCAAGAAAGCCTGCCTCCATCAGGCTTCGAGACATGAAACAATCGCAGAAAAAAAGCTCGCGCATTATGCCGCCGAGTCACTGCTCCGCCTGGCGACAAGTTTGTTTGGATGCGGCGATTCATGGTTTTCGCCACACCCCTGGAAACTGCACCAAAATCCGAGACCAGCCATCCGTCACTGGCCAAGAAACCCCATTTTTTTGCGCTTTTTTGTAAGATGGGTGTGAGTGTCAAAAAAGATCGGAGGTAACCCCAAAATGGCTCCTGCCCTGGTAAATGAAAAAAAGACAAAGCACCTGCGGTCTCAGCCTGGTGGTTGAAGTTTGATCCCCAAATGCCCAATCGCCTCGATGCCCAGCTTTTTCCACTCCTCCCTTCGCTTGGCTTGCTGCTCCTCGTCTCAACTCGGCACTTCGAATGGGCAAATTCTCGAAATCTGCGGCTCTGAGGTATGGGGCGTCCCTTTATTTTGAGGCTTGGCACGCTTGGCGTGCTTTTTCGGAGCCAGCAGGACAACGACGCATCTTTTTTTTTGGGGGGGGGTCCACATGTAGAGACCAACCCTCCTTGTATTTGTTACATCGTTCAAGAAACCAAATACTGACGATCTGCCTGGAAAATGTTTCAGGCTGCCAGGTGGACTCCCAATTCAAAGTGATGGGGTTGCCTGGACAAAGGACAAGGAACGGTCAAAAACCTTGCCTTGCAACTGACAGATGGAGGCCGTATCACCAAATGGCATGGAATGGACACATGTGCACGTTGCCGCTCGCAGGTATGCCAATTCCAAGAAAATTCTGCCACTGAAGGCTCGAGGACTCCCGATCACGGCCCCCTTCAGTGATCCGACTAGGCAAACCGCACGCCCTTGGCTCCTCATAGAGCTCACTCTTCTCATTCCGCACGCGCTCCTGCATGTCGCTCCTGCCATCGACTTGCTCACTGCCGGCTCCAGCTTCAAAGAGTTGGACAGGCGCAGCTCGGTCGAAGCAAAGTGCCCCGTTCGGAAAGGGATCTGCTTGTTCGTTCTGCTCGCTTGGGCTGTTGGGTCGTGGTCCAATGAAACAAGTGCTCCACGCCCCATGCCTCATGCCCCCATGCCGCGTTCTCTCGGCTCCGCGCCAGAAGCCGTCGTCGTAGTCCAGGGATGGCACCGAGCTGCGGCGCCTGAACTGAACTCGGAAGATGCCGGAAGGCGAGTGAGCTGGTTCTGCGACCGGAGAGCACTTAGCGAGTGCCATGTGCCCCAAAGAACGCCTGTACGCAACTTCAAATCCATGCCCAAGCCCATCCAAATGGGTATGGCTCAAAATTAAGCCACCAGTATATGCGGATTCGAGTCCATGTGTCCCTTTCCCGGAATCGCACAACCCATTTTGGGGTTGCCCTGTTCGCCAAATCCAGTTGCCGGATTTCCCGAAGCGACGTCAGCCCCCAGAAAAACGCCAGAGCTCCAAGGCTCAGAGAGAGCCGCGCCTGTAGCGCAACAGCCCCACCTCGCCGGCTTTGCCCATGGAGTCCTGGTGGCGTTAAGCACGACTCCAAGAAATCCCACTTTCATTCGAACAATGCTCAAGCGACCGACGAGCGTAGAGCGTATACAATACATATGAATATATACATATATGTATATATATATATAATTATATATATATATGTGTAAACTATATATATATTATATGTTTGCCCTCCCTCCCACTAACATAGTACCTGACAGTGGGTCACCTGAAAGGGGACATTGATCTTCCAGAAACCCCTCCCAGAAATGCCTTCTGTTCGTGGGAGGGCCGGGTATACCTGCCTACACATTGTCTGAGTGGAACGACTCACGCCCATGCCGCACGCCGTGAGTCTGCACCCGGCCAGACACTTCCCCCTCCTGGCGCCGATGCCTGGGCCGATCAAGGCAAAAACCCACGAAACTCGGACACACTCCGCCAAGAACTCGCTGCGGTTGTCAAAGATCGGGTAACCCCAACATGAAATCTGAAACCTGCCCAATAGACACATGGAATAAAATGTCTGCGGTCCAGATTGTGGTGGCTTCATGTTGATTCATTTTTTTTCAAATGAATTCAAGATTTGAGAAGCGAGATGCTTTGGGATCGCGGCTCTCCCCTCTTTGCACCGATTTCAAATTTCCCGATGAAATCGGACGGCGAAATGGCGAGTCACGAGTCGCATGCGGCCAAGATGCTTCAGGGAAAGGCTCCCGGTGCGCTTCGGGGCGTCCTCCAGTCCTCACGGAGCACGGGACGAAGACCCCAGCGACCCCAGCGACCCCAACCACGTCCCGCGGGCGAGGGCGAGGGCGACCCTTCTGCGTGGGCTAGGGCCACCAACAGGCAAACCTTCTCAGCATTTGTGTCCCATGGCTGGTGTTTAGTTGTTTTCCGCTTAAAGCACCAAACGCGACAGGGGGGTCACCAGTTCGAGAAACACCCAAGACGGAAGACTGGGATGGATCTTTCCGCGGTGATCCGGACGTCCGGACGTCCGGATGTCTGGATCACCTGCTTTGTGGGGTCTGGATCGCTTGTAGGGGTTTGGCCCTTGATCCGGCAATGTTTGAGCCGCAGCCGAATAGGGGAAACCTCCCCCCCTTCCCAAAAAACAACACATAGATTCATATTTCGACATATACCCAAATGGGTGTCTTTTACACCTTTCTCCATGAAACGTTAGAGGCAACCAAAAAACGAAAACCGCCATGTATTTCCTGTCCTCAGATCCCCCGCTAAAAGCTTAACCTGTGGGTGAATTGGAAATCCCCACTCAACACTAAAAAGCTAAGAAGCTAAGTGTCTAAGGAGCCGGATGGCTTGGAGCCACCCAGTTTTTTCATGTGGCCATGGGTCAAAATCCAAATCGTACCCCCAGTGAACATCCGATTCAATCCCCACTAAAATAGGTTCTAAAAAGGGTGGTGAATTCACCTACCCCAAGATAGTACGATGGGTTTTGACCCACAGCCATAGGTCCCTTTCAAACCTCCAAAGAGGAAACCTGTAAAAGGAAGGTCCATTTATTTATTTATTTTGGGGGGAGTCTAACCTCCCCCCCCAAGGGCCCAAGTCTCAGCTCTTCCCTCCGAGGCGCCGCTGTCGCCGCTCTCCGGGGCCCCGGGAAGCGCCGGGCGCTGCGAGGCCTGCGGTTTCTTGCTTCGCCTTTCGGGGGACGAACGGGGGAAACAGATCTGGGCTGGAAAACTCGGACCCCGGCAAAAAATACTTATCAAAAAAATAATATATATATATATATATATATATACATATATACATACATATATATATATATATCATGTATAATATATTCCTGTTCATTGTCTTTCACCTTAATGAATAAATCATACATATATATATATTAAAAAAATGCCTGGTTAGTGGAAAACAAAGGGAACCCCCAAAAAGCAAAAAGAAATACAAGGGGGGACTAATTCTGGGGAAGAGATTTGGGTGTGGCTCAAATTTCAACAGCTGGGGTTATGCAGGTTTGGGTCTTGTTTCCATATACCAAGGTGCCATTTTGAATAGCTTTTTTTGAGCCACAGCCAGGAATACTTCTTCATGATTCCCAGAGACTTAAACCCAGGGGTGATTCATCCCTTCATTCCCCCCAACAGGAGAGCCCTTGGGTTTAAGTCTATCCGGGAATGATCAAAAAGTAGAACCCTGCAGGGAAAAGGTCAATTTGGTCGCCATGTTTACACCAAAAGGGGGGGCAAAGGAAAAGGTCAAGGGAAATGGTCCATGTAGTCACCCAACAAGGGGACCATTTGTAGGCAAAGGGAAAAGGTCAAAAGTGGTCCTTTCCAGTCGATTTGCGTTGGGCAACTGAGCTGTCCAAGCCCAGGGTGGCAGAAAAAAAAGTGTCGGTGTTTGTTTGCTGCCCCCTACAAAAAAATAAACAGAACAGTTGACAAAACAAAAAGCCTAAACACATGCCAATAGCAGTGAAGGTCTGTCTCTTCTTAAGAATACCCTCTCCTAGACGATTTGAAAGGGGAACCAAAGCCCAATTTTAGGGCTTCCTCTAACTTGAGACAACCCCATTCGGAAGCCCAGGCTATGATTCCGATTCGGGGATTGTCTCCCCTGTCAAGCAAGGCAGAATCACTTTGGCCCTTGCCCGTGGCCGGACAACTCTAGGATTTGCTTGCTGAGGCCGGCGTTTATCATCGGAAACTACAAAACATGTGCGAACCGTTCAGGTGCGTTGTGTCCACATGACGAGGATCCCCCCCAAAAAAAAACGAGCGTTCCTCTTGGTTTCCCTTGGAACCTCCAGAAAGGCGAGAGCCGTGAGTCCAAGAGCACGCGGCCTGCTCGGTCACCTCGTCCCCCTTCCTCACGTGGCACTTTTGGTCGTTGCCACAGCTATGTCTCGGTTTGAGAGCTACGACGCAGTACCGGGTAAGGGTACCTTTCTTGGGGGGAATTGGCTGAAAGGCACAGCTGCCAGTAAAAAGGTTGCGGATCATAAATGGCTTCAAGGTGGGCAATGGCAGGATGAGAATGGCGCAGTAGTGAAGAAGTTGAGCGCCCTCCCTCACAAAGCTCACGCCGTGCACATATGGCGCGGCATGTGCTCAGCTTCTTGTCAGGACGTTTCTCATCATGAAACTGCCAAGCCGAGCTGCAAACGGCTGGCCAGCTTATAGCAACCCTTTGGGTTTGATGGACCTCGTAAGTTGCCAAGCCTGGCTCCCTTTCTGAAAAGGAAGGCCCGGTTTGCGGCGGCCAATTGGTCGCTTCCTCTGCCAGGCTACGATCCGAAGAGATCATCGCGGCCCAGCCTGACGCTACGAAAGAGGCTCAAAGGAAGACTTCTCACTTGCTCAGAGGTCAAATAAATGGTTGTCAAAGTGGGCGTGTCCAAGGATTCCCTTAAACCAACCCCACATGGGTACCCAATTGCTCAGCCTTCTCTTTAAAACAACCCCCCCATTTTATGGTACTCTTTACTGCAAGCAAATGACAACTCCCTGCTCAAATCCATCAGCCAGCCACCTCCCCCTGCCTAATCACCGAGCGCGCCATGTGAGGCTTGGCGCGCTGCTGCATCTGCCAGCAGGGGACAAACAAAACAGCGCTGCCATCCACCGGGCGAGGTCTCCACGGGGTTTTCGAGCCATCTCCTGTTGGGAACCTCCAAAGTGGCGGTTTCGATTATGTGGCACCAGCGAGTCGCAGCTTTTGATTCAGGGAATCCACTGAGCCCTCTAAAAATCACACCCAACGCTTCCAGAAGCAGAGCTCCACGCCAAAGCTTCGCTCGCCTTGAGGCGCCGCGAGTTCTTGGCGGAGGGCCGGCTCTTGTTCTTGTAGTAGGACAGCAGCGTGAGCCCGTCGTCCTAACGCGGCAGTGCGGCTGGCAGCCGCTGGCTTTGCGGCCGGTCTTGCATGACGCGCGTCTGGCTGCTTGGCATCTTGGGAGACGCATATACATTTGCCAAGTGCGAGTGTGCAAGTGCCGCCAGCCAAAGCGAGGCAACCTCTGGCGCCCACCCCGCGCCTCATCCTCCGGCTGGACCTAGAGAAGGCAGTTTTGGGGCGAAATGATGCAATCTGGTCCAAAAACACACCCATCAGGGAAAACATGTGGGAAACATGTGAAAAATCATGGGAAAAACACGGGAAAAACACGGGAAAAACATGTTGGCCGCAAGCTGGTCAGCTACGCATCGGCCTCCTCCAGCTCCTGCCCGCTCTCCACGGCCTCCTCGCAGGGAGCGTTCTCGCAACCGGCTGTGCCGGAAGTATGCGAAGGGACCCAAAAGGCGGCCGTCCTTTTCTGAGGGCACCCCTTTTTGTGTGCTTTCAAAAGGGAAATCCAAATGCAAGGCCACCATTTTGGGGGGGGTCCCCTAAAAACAAAGACGCGCCGAAGTGCGAGGGGACCCAAATCACTGCACCTGTTCTCCCGCAGAGCCCCCGTCCTGGTCTCGCAGGAGTTGGCTGAGGAGCCGATTTTCCTTCAAGGCCAACGGGGCTCTCTTCACTTGCAAAGCCTCTGGCGACTCAGGCGCATTGCAAGAACGCAAGACATCGGCCTCACAGGGTGAATTGGCCCTTCGGGCAGAGCCGAATGGAAACTGACCGCAAACCGTTCGGGTCTCAAACGTCCGGCTCCTCGATCGTCTTCTGATTCCAAAGCCCTGCAGCTGTCTTCATGGCCTCAGGGCGGAACAGTGGCCGCAAGAATCAAATATCCGGACCAAAGCCTCCCAAAGCAATCGCAGCGGAAAATAAGGTGACAAGTTGGTTGCAAGGTCCTCTCAAGCGAAATAAATACATATAGTACATGGACTTGTCAAAAAAAAGAAGAGGATCACCCCCCCGAACATCGCGGTCGTCCGTTTGTTCCCCCCCCTTCAAACCAACCCAAAAAAAGGCACCCATCATTTTATTGTTTTTAGGAAAATGTGTGTGTGTACATATATACATATATAAATATATATATTATTTGTGAAAAAAAAATGCAGCGCCACCGGCCGGCCGCCGGTTTCTCGGCTTCTCGCGCGCATCCCAAGCCGTTTTCCGAGGGGCCAGGAGCTGCGTCGCCAGGAGGCTGGCGATGCCCAGGCTCTTGGTGCCTCGGGTCCCATCGGCCAAAACGCGCGGCGCAACTGGAACCGCGCCCCAAAACGGCGCGTGGGTCTAAACGGCGCCCAACATGGCATGGAAACCAGACCCAAACCTGCGGTCCAACCCCATCTGTTGAATTTTGAGCCGCATGGTCAAAACCGTTCTGGGATCCCAGTTTGGAAATGGTAGGTGAATTCACCCGTTTTGGAACCTAGTTCAATCGAAAACCAATCGATAAAATGGTCGCCAAACCATGTTTCAAGAATTAAGAAGGCGGCCGCAACTATTTATGCGTGGGACTGTCCCTCACTAATCTTCACTTTCCCGGGTGTTGATTGTGACTTTCGAGGTACCTCAACTTGTCAACACCCATGGCCACCGAATACTAAGCTCCTTACATGTGGAGCTTTAGAACGACTCATATAGGGAAAAACATACTAACACCTGCATCACCCCAGCTCTTCAATTTGACCCCAGTGCACCCCAGTTTGAGGAGCTCGGCACCAGAGCCAAAACAAAAAGACACACGCCCCCGGCGACAGCTCGCAAGCGAAACGGGTCATATTTTGCATCGACCCGAAGATGGACCCGAGGTTTGGTGCACGAATTTTGGTGTCCGACCGCTTGCAAGGGGCATGAAAGGACCCCATGGCCTGTGAAAACCAAGCGGGAAACCGTGGAGCTGAACGCATCGAAACCCCAGAAATCATCTTGGGGCAAAGCCATCAAATTTGCAGGAAACGAGAATCCATCTGATGTGCATGCCGGAAAATGACGAATCAGAGCAGACTTTTGTGGGTGTCTGGCAAGGTCCGGTGTTCAATTCCTTGCAATCACAGGTCTGGGCAACCGGATGCCCGGTGCCATTCCCTTCGAATGCCACAGCTCTGAACTTCCCTTCCCAACCTCTAAACTTCCTGTCGACATGTTCCAGTGCTGGCCGAAACACAGGCCTAAAGCGCTTTGCCTATGGAGTCAACTATACAAAACGTGGAGCTGTCTAGACAATCCCACGGAAAAATGCCATAGGCTCCCATCCCCTTCGCCGAGCCACCGTCGCCTTTGCTGCCTGGGCACCGGGCAGAGGCGACCAGTGGTCAAATGGATCCAACGCGGAGACCGTGGGCTATGCAACTTGTGGGACGGCGACAAAGGCGACCAAGGCGGTCAAGTGCGGAGTTGGGCTATGCAACTTGTGGGACTTCACCAGACTCCTTGGGTTAGGGGCCCTGATGGGAAGCCCAACCTTTCCTGCGGAACCTCATGTAGAGCTGGGCAGGGCCCAGCTAAACACATCTGTGCCAAAGTGGCGGTACCCCCAAAATGAGTGTGTTCCTTTTGCGCTCCCTTGAAACCAACCCCAAGAAGGATACCATCAAACGAAACGAAGCCACATGGGGTTGACCAATATGGGTCCCGATTTGTTTTGGGAATTTGTCCCGTTTTGTTTTGGGAATTTTCCTGGATTTTCTGTCTTGGAACTGGCAGGTGCGATCTCCCTTGGTTCTGCTGTGGTTTGACTCGTTTTGCACCATCCCCTGCATCGTGTTAACTCGGCAGCATCCTTTTCAAACATCCTCAGCATCACTAGTTGCATTTGTTAGGCCGGGTTTAGGGTGGGTTTAGGTTGGCTAGGCTTGGTTGATGGTGGGTTCCAGGCTTGTTTAGGGCAAGTTTGGGGGTGGCTGCGCTTTAGGCACTGGGATGGTTTAGTGCTGGTTTATGGCGGGCTTCTTGGGGTTGGTTCAGGGGTTTAGGGCTGGTTTAGGGTGAGTTTAGAGTTGGTTTAGGCTGCGGTTGTGTTTAGGTGGGATGGTTTAGTGTTGGTTTGGTTCGTTTGGCGGGGTATGGGGGCGGTTGGTCGTGTTTGCTTTGGGTTTGCTAAGGGTGGGTTTAGTGCTGGTGTGCGGGAGGTTAGGGATTGGTTTCGGGGTTGAGCTGCAGGGTTTGCTTCGTGGGGGTGGTTTGAGGTGGGCTTATTTGCAATGGCTTTGTGCTGGTTTGAGTGCGGATCGTATAATACAAACCCACTCTAAACCAGCATCAATACAGAATAATACAAGCTTAGTGCGGACTGAGGGTTGGTTTGGGTGGGGTTAGGGTGGGTTTCGAGATTGAGTCTTGCTGATTTAAGGTTACTTTAGGGTTTCCTTAGGGTTGGCTTTTAGAGCCTGGTTTTAAGGTTGGTTCTAGGTTTAGTGGTGGTTTAGGGTGGTGTTCGTGGTGATTTAGGGTTGGTTTCGGGTGGTTTTAGGCCAAAACGTGAGTGTAGGCTGGGCGTTGGATTCATTGGGGTTCGTTGCCTACAAAGAAGCGGGGGGGGGGGGGGCGCAGCCCCCCCCCATCTACAAAAACATGGGAGGTACGAAGCCACCAAAACTCCAAAATCCCAAGAAGTCGAAAGGCGCTGATTGCTGCAGCAGTTACTGGTGATGATATACGGAAAGCCAAAGCCACGGAGGCCACAACAAGTAAAGCCAAAAAGCCAAAAGCCGAAAAGACCAGACTCCAAGAAGACAAGAAGCTAAGAAGCCAAGAAGGCTAAGAAGCCAGATAAGGCAAAATCCAGGAACAACTCCTAAGGAAAAACGGAGAAACAAATCCCAAAATAAATAGCCCTCCGATCAATATTCCCTTCGTGAAATATAATCTCATTTTGGTGTTTGTTTCCGGCGGTCACCCCATGATCCAGGGGCCTGTTGATCTACCTCCACAGGTCTTTCTTAAAGGGAAACCAATGGTCATCCCATGAAAAAGCCGTTTGATCAACCGTGCCCGGAGACTTCTCCGATGTGAGACCTATCAGAGCCATTTCGACAGGTGGCGCAAAGGACTGCTGATCTCCACATGGCCCAGAGACAGCGCCTTCAGCGCCAACTTCTGCTCCTCGGCTTCAGGAGCATCGGCCGATCGGTCGGTGTCCAGGCGCCTGTTCAGCAAGTTGTCCTCCTTTTCGGGCTATTTGATGAGTTGTCAAAAGCCCGGGCTCAGCAGACGTATGAGAATGTATGAGAAACACATGAGAAAGAACATTCATGCCTTTTTCAGGAACAAACATTTTGACGACCTGACATTCTAACCCCGTGTTCGGGTCATTTCGGGCTTCCCCCTTTCTTCAGCCTTGGAGAGGTTGTCAAACCTCTGGACCGACCCCTTTCGGAACCCAACTCGGCGAGTGTCGAAAGGTCTGATGAGTTGTGGGCAGACTTGACCCTCTCCAAAAGACTGGATGGATTGGTCTGGAAAACACCCTGGACCTCAAAGAAACAAACGAAATGCGAAGCGTCTGTCAGGGGCAGGTGAAGCAGGTCCAGAAGGTGCTGGTAGACAAGCCTCGGAGTTCGGCGCTGCCCACCCCCCACAAGAAGACTCCTCGGAGTTCGGCTCTGTGCAATCCACCGCTTACGAACGGAGCTTGGGCCAGCATAGCCAAGCTTGAATGAAGATCCAACCTCGATGTGCTATGAACCCGCTGTGTTTTTGAGGTTCGAGTAGTCACAAACACTCAAGGACAACGCAAACTAAACCTGCAACGAGCTTCTCCGCGTGCTGGTTCCGTGTTCCCGCCAGCCATTGTCCAGGTTCTGGTGTGAGTCGTTTGCAGTGGTCTGGTCAGGAGAGTTCTGTGTGATCTTTGGGAATCAACCAAGAATCCGCCTTTGATGTCCATTCTTGTCTTGGCCCGAGGTCATTTGGTGTCAATCGTTGCCAGCAACTAAGCCCGGATATTATAGATATGTCGCGCGCGCAAAGAACAACACGAGAAACACGTATTTGGAACAGAAGTTCACGGCGCTCTCAACGGCTCTTTCCCAACAACAAAAAACACGAAGGAACTCGCGACTCACCGCACGGGAAGCCGTGGCAACGGCTCCTCGCTGCTCGCTCTTGAGCGCCTCACGAGCGCCTCGCTCACTGGCTGAGGCGGGGGCGGCAAGAACGACTCATTCAGCAGCCGCATCATGTCCACCAGCCTGGCCGTGGCTTGGTCCGGCGGAAAATTCGGCCCTTGGGATGTGAGCAAAAGACAAAAACAAAAACAAAAACAAAAAACGAGAAGGCCCCCACCCCCAACCAAAAAGAAAAGAGGCGAGTTCTTGTTGCTTTTCAAAGGCGGGCAGGTTCAGCGGGTGAACCAGTCAACTGGCCTGTCTGAATCCTCTCGCGGAAGCCCAGCAGCCTCGACCAGGTTGTTGCAATACCTCATGCGATGCGCGGGTGCTGCTGTTGTTTCGGTTGCAGGTCTTTTCTTGGGGGGCAGGGGGGGGGGGGGCGTAACTTCATTGAATAGCCCAAGTTCATCCAGCCCGGCAAGCGCTGGTTTACCAAATAGACAGCTGTTGATAGAGAGCAGCCGAATTAAACACAAACGAGCCAGGGCACCCTGACTCAAGCCCTTCACAGCCAATTCTCAGACAAAGAGCTTCAACATCGCGATGCCCCCGATGCAGAGAAGCATGTGTACCACATGGCCAAAATGTCCAACCCTCAAGTTTCTCAACCTTCGTCTACATCTTCGCCAATCACATCACCGGAGCAGAATGGAAAACTGCGGCATTTTGCTGTGGGTCAAAAATCGGTACCCAAAATGGGCTGCCCCGGTAAATGGAAACATGGACTAAAACCTGCGGTTTTCTGGTGCTTTAATTTTGGCCCATACCCGTTTCGTCCCTTGCCACGGTGCTCAAGCACAGAGAGCTTCGGCGTCACGGGGACCATCTCCTTTGCCTCGCCAGTCACTGGCGAGTGGCCTGCCTTTTTTTGGGGAATTCCTTTTGATTTCACTTTAAAGCCAACAAAAAGGAGGAGGGGGGGGGGGGGGTGCAGACCCACATGCCACGCACCCAGGAGGGAAATGCGTGTGATGCTCCTCTCGAGCGGGGCACGCTTCCTGGTAAGCACCGTGGCCACACTTAGAGTCCAAAACCAGCTAGAATTCGGAAGCCTAGCCCCTCACAGATATTGGACGCACCCTCCCCTACCCTCCCACCATAGAGTCCCTTGGTGCACTTCCATCTTTGTTGCTGGGGCAACAACACGTCCACCGGGCACCGCAAAATTTGACCACGTCCCAAGGAGATCCAAAGTCCCGATCCCCGATATGGTGGGTCAAACAAATCGGGTAACCCCGAAATGGCGTACATATCCTGGTGAACGGAAAGGACAAAAAATCCTGCGGTCCACATGGCCGAACATGTTGACGCATACCCATGTTGCTTTGTGTGTTTTTTTTTTGGGGGGGGGAGGAATTCGGCACCCCAATAGAAAGACACACCCATCGCCGCACCAGTCCCGGTTTTTTTTTGCCACGCCCACCCGGATCTCCGGACGGATCTCCCGCCTCCAGCTCCAGCTTCCTGGCCTCCTCGCGGATCTCCGCGGCGGCCTGGCGCAGGCGGTTCATGGCCTTGATGCGGGACATGGCGTTCGCCAGCTTGGTCCTCGCCGGCTCGGCGGCTCGGCGACTCGGCGCGGCCGACTCACCGACTCGGCGACTCGGCGCGACGGGTGCGTAGCTTTGGGGGTTCTTGCTCGGCGGTGTTGAAGGGGAACCATGGCACCCTCTTTGGCGTATGTTGAAGGATCCTCCCCCGCTCCAAAACAAAAAGAAGAAATGAGACAAACCCGCTCGAAAGAAAAGCCGTGAGGTGGCCGGCAACTCGATCGCGGAACGAGAGGCCTTTTCTTTCCTTTCCTGTGCTTTTAAAGGGAAACCGAGAGGAAAACCGAAATCCATTTTGGACCCACATTGTTTGAGTGTCAGCAGCAACAGCAGAAAGAGCAGCAGAAAAGCAGCAGCAGCCTGAGCAGGTGGAGTTGCCAGCAGAAAAAAGAAAAAAAAGGAGGAGGAGGTGTCGCAAAGTCACAAAGCAAGGTGCTCCCATATTTACCCTAAGTTCAGCCCAAGAGGAACCTCGAACTGAATGGGCAACCAAAAGGTGATGCTCAAAAACCCAACCTTCTGTTCAAAACCTTGGGAAAATTGAGCTGGAACCCTTCCATCCCATAGGCGCAACCCACCGCCGGATGCGCAACCGCCGAACTTCTTGCTTCCCGTCCCGGCCTCGTGGTCTCCCCCATCTCCTGGCGTTTTTCGATCTGAGACTTGCGCAAACTTCCTGCCGATTGGCGGTTTGCACAAGCAGTCCCAAACTAATCCAATCCAAACCACGCAAGGGTTGCCCGACTCAAGCCGGGCTGCCCCGATCCGGGCAACAAGAAAGCTCACTGAGGCCCACTAGTGCCGGTTTTTGGAGAACCGATGGGTTCGCAGAGCGCGAAGCCAAGATCCTGTCACAAAACACAAGTGAATGCCGACCTTTTTCAGGAAGCCCTTCTTTGCTCGCAGAACTTGGCAAGGCGTGTCGGACGCATTGTTCGCCAAATGGACTGCCAAGGGGTTTCAGAAGTGCTCCGAGGCGTTCTGCAACAAATCCACGGCCCAACAAATAGCGATCTTGCTCTTGCTCCCGCCCTAACCGAACAAACATGTACCTCCACAGGAATGGCGGAAGCTGGGGCGAGGTGGCAATCAGCTAAGCTGCCATAATCCTGAGGGTCTTGTGGTCATTCACCTTGTCGCAAAAACTGTCGATGCAGCACTGCAGTGGTGCCTTGATAAAATTGGGGGGCACCACTGGAAGGGCTGTTAATCTTTTGGTTTTCCAAAAAGATGGCAAAATCGGCAAAGTTCAAAAACCGTCCAGGTACCTGGGAAAAAGTAGATGGTGTGGATAGAGGCTATGACAAAACAAACATGGGGGCAAATTCTGCCACCCAACTGGAAGCTCGCTGGATGCCAATGCCCGGCATCGCCTCGCTGTTCTCGGAGAGGTCACTGCCTGCCTCCTGGCGGCTCATCGGCAGTTTTGCAACAGAACTCCTGTAGCAAATCTACGCCTTTCAATGAAGGCTTCTGGTTGTTCACCGGGGCACCGGGGTTTGACCCCATATCCATTTTGACTTTTGTGGATACTTAAGAAACAAACTTAGAATAGAACGTCTTTAGCCCTTTGTGTTGATCCGATCACCGAGAACCATTTGCTTGAAGGAATCTCCGGTCGGGCAATGAGCCGATGGACGGCAAAGCCGCGCGACGCACGCACGAACGTGGCGTTTCGCATGACTCCCCCATACCTCGTCGGACGGCATCTGGAGGTCGGACGGCCGCTGCCGCTGCAGGGTCTGGCCTACCGCCAGCGAAGCGGTGGACAGGGAGGTGCCTTTTTGAGGACCAGAGCCTGTTCCGTGGTCCGGTCTCCTCTTTTCTGGCTACCCTTTTGAATGTCAAAAGCGAGGGCGTCCATTTGAGAAACCCTCAGCTGCTGCGGAAATTACCTACAAATGGGGGGAACTTGTAGCCGTACCTTCCAAAAATGATCGGTTTCCGAAGAGAACCAGATGGCCTTCTCGCAGATCAGAGGGCTGGATGGGCGAGTCTGGATCCTGGCAGTCAGGCAGTCCGGCAATCCGTCCGAGCCACTGCAAGCGGTGAGTTTCGAGAGTCTCGTTGTTTTCAAGCCGAGCGCTTGTCTTTGAGAAAGACCTACTGGATGGACAAAATCCAAGGCTTCGTGATGGCGGAAACCCGAATTCCGGTTGAATATTGGGATAAACTCCACTATCTGGTGCAGGACTTTGTCCATCAGTAAGTTTGCTGTACCCAGATTGGTACATGCTGACCTGTAGCTCTATACAGCCAGAACGCACCAGGAAAAGCGACTGGCAACTTCCAAACGAGGCACTTTGTGCCGTTCCCGTTGCAAATGGCAATCGGATGGGCAAAAAAAAATCGCAAGGCGCCTACAAGACCTTGTTTAAAAGAGCTGATGGAGCGCAGGCGTCACCTTTCGATGGGGGTCCACATGCTTTCGTACGGCATGGGACGCTAACTCCCGCAACTCCTCTAGCGATGAGACATGGCAACAGATGTCATGTGTATTCTTCGTATTCACCTTTTGCCCAAGCCCGTGTTCTGAACGGGTCGGCCATTCATGCGCTACTTAAGCGAAGCCGATCAGGAAAAAGGCGAATCAAGACATTGAAAAACAGCATCGGCCGGGATGCTTCGAAGCCGACATTCACTTACACTGATCGAGACCTCCTGCGCACATGCATGCGTGTGTCGAAGTGAATGAAGGTCCTTTCCACCGGCAAGTGGGGAGTTCCAAGAGCGACTGTGCTTTCCCAGCCACTTGCTCCGCCTAGCTCATCAATCACAGTGGATGCCGCAACGGGCTGAGCTTTCTGGACTTTGCTCAACGGCATCATCAAAGGCATGGGCACGAGACAGACATGGAGGCAAGGCACGGCTCGCATGTCCGTTTTCTCCGCGGCGTGAGCCACGTGAGTCGCATGGGAGGTCTTCTCCGTCTCCATGGCCTTGAAGCGCTCCATGGACCGCTCGAACTCCTCGAGGCTGAGCATCGCCCCCAGGCGCTTGTGCAGCCGCTGCCGGATCCGCCGCCGCAGCGCGCGGGTGGGCGCCTCGACGCTGGCCTCCACTGCCTGGTGCAGCATCTCCTCCAAGCACATGGCGCCTAAACACCCCACCCGTCAGGGAACTGAGCGAGCGCCCAGCGCCGACTCGAACAGACTCCCGGCGTCTTGAGCCAAAGTGACACCGGCGAGTTGAGTCAAGCTGAGCTACGGCGAGAACTCTCCAGTGCCTCGCTGCCTCGCCTCACCTCACCCCAGCGTCCTCTGAAGCTTCAGCGTGCGCTTCGCCTGCAAGATCAAGAGACACGCTCAGGTGTGGCATATGCACTCCTTTGGAACCTAAGCATTCTGCATTGAAAATCCGCACAGGCTTCTCAGACGAAGCTTCTCAATTTAAAAGATGAAGGGGCTTGGAGCAAACTGCGTTTTTGTACCTCCGACCAAGTCACGCCCTCCCCAGCCTTCCTTCGGATCATCAGCCAGCCGCGCCACCATCGTCATCATATTCACCTCACTCCCACGGTGGCTTCGAACAAAGCCACGTCACTTCTACTTGAAGAGTCGCATCTTTTCGAAGTTGTCTTTTGATGTGATTGGGTTCATCAATAATACCACAAATGTCATATCATACACATATATAGATATATGTATCATATATATTATGATCCCTCCCCTGGAATACTCAGGTTTTCGTCCACACATTGACATGTTTGCTGTAAAATGCATGCGAAATGCACTTTTCAGTTTCTAAAAATGATGCTGAAAAATGCAATATTTTTTAGACCCAAACTATAGCATCAGTACTTAGCGCCATCGTGGATGTGCTAGCACGTGCTAGCATATCCTGGATTGAAGATTGTTTTTTCTAGATTATCTGGCGACTCTTGCTGAGATTCTTCAAATCTATACTTGGTGGAATCCAGGATGTGCTAGCAGAACGGGCCAGCACATCCTGGATTCAAGATGGGTGATTGAAGATTCTCTCGCAACTCCTTCAGGGATTCTTCAATCTTCAACCTTCAATCCAGGATGCGCTAGCATGTTCTAGCACATATCAGTTGGACCTAAGTATGGGTTTGAAGGTTTGAAAATCTTCAACCGTCAATCTTCAATCCAGGACGTGCTAGCACGTGCTAGCACATCTTGGGTTGCCCTACTTGTACGTACATGATTGAAAAATCCCAGAAAGACTTGTCAAAGAACCTTCAATCCTCAATCGTCAATCCAGGATGTGAAAGCAGATCCTAGATTGCTCAAGTACGGAATCTGACAAGGCGAACAAGCAGAGCACGTTCCAAGAGCCACACTGTGGATGTGCACCGTCTGCATTTTGCCAATAAGGGAAACATGTGTTTTGAAAACTTTACAGCTTTTGTGGGACTTGAGGTCTGGCCAGATGGGCGATTCAAAAAACAACATCTGGAGATCTTCAATCTTCAATGCAGGTGGGAAAACCTTAAAGAGTTTAGAAAAACTGTCAAGCTTTTTGGGGGGCCAGGGTTGGGTATGTCCTAAAACGATGTCTGTGGAATCTTGAATGTTCAGGGCAACATGATCTGGGCAAATGCTGAAAACTCCGCTGTTTAAAGAATGTTAAGCCAAGAATAATATCTATGTGTGAAAACATTTCCGGTTATTGGTTTGACTCAGTTCTTGCTTGGAAAAAACCACATGGAGTTAAACAGTTAGGTAAGGACAATAGAGACACGCTCCTAACCTTGCTAGGCTGCCACTGCGCAAGGACGGGAAGCACTTTTATGTTTGATTTGGATGTCAGTTTCAAGTAGGATTGAGTTCCTTTCCCCCAAGTGGATGATTTGCCGAGTTTCCTTGTAAAACAGAGATAATACAAAAAACAACAGCTGCTACAGGCACGATGAAGCTGCCAAAGCATGGTTCGCGTAATACTCTTGTGCTTAAAGTTGTGCTTTTGGAGCTGGGGCTGCCGAAGCGCACTTCGCAGACTCCAACGTGACTTTAAGCACACTTCGCGCTCGAGCTGTTTAACTAGGAGCCCCTTTTCAATGTTGAGCTTAACTTCTGCTTGGTTTGACTTTGCATGGTGTCAGCTCAGTTCAGAGTCTCTCCAGTCTGGCCCAAAACTTGAGTTCTGGACGAAAACCTAAGTATTTGAAGGGGGTAGCATATATATATATATATATGTTTATTTATTTATATTTATAATTATTTATAATATATATATATATATATTCATGTGCATATATATATATATATATACACATGTCTCTCTAGACTAATCCGGAGCAATCCAGAAGGAAGCCATGATCGCTCCGATTCTTCGGGTCCCGCCTTGCGTCGAAGCTTCTGAAAGACCTGGCGCGCGCGTGCGCCTTGTGTGACTTTTCACCGGCGCCATCACAAGGGTCGCGGACAAATGGTCAAAAGTCGGTGGAGGGTCTAGCTGTGCATTTTGATTGATTGGCGGTCCCCAAAATACATTTGGGTATGGGTCAAAATTAAAGCACCAGATATGGACTGCAGGTTTTAGTCCATCCAGGGCAACCCATTATGTGTACCTATTTTTGACAACGCCCTTTTAAGAAAGATCCTAACCACATGAGTTTGGCTATCAGAAAACCCACCAACCAATGTCCAACAACAAATGTCCCGAGGATGGCAGGTTCGCCTCAGAATGGGGTTTTGCGCCGCAGCAAAAAAACGACGGGGCCGCGGGGTTTCCTATGCGATCCCTTCTTCCCGCTGAGATCAGCGAGGACCGAGCTGTGACGTGATATCTGACGCTTCGGAGGCCCCAACCCTCCAAACCTGAACAGCCATGACGCCTTGCAAGCATATATACATATCTATATATATATAGAATATATGCATCAATGCAAAACAATTGGGGTCAGGAATTGATTTCAACAGGCTCAAATTTCATTTCTTCAACTGCAAGCCTTCCGGCTATCAGCTATCCCACATCCCAATTCAGCACAGTTCCCCCCAGAGGCACGCCTGCACTCGACTCTTGCTGCCGAGCTTGGGCTTGTTGGCAATCCTCTCAGCTTCCGCTTGCCTCAGCCGATCCCGTTATGCGCGGTCTCGGGAGTCTTTTGGGTGTGAGCGCTGGAAAGGCAACCGGCATTTTTGCAGCCATGCTCATTTCTCATTCACAAGGCATTGAACATGCGGTAAATCATGTCTTCTTCTTCGTCTTCTTCTTGTTGCTCATCTTGTTCTTGTTATTCTTGTTCTTATTTATACTGTTATTATGGTTCTTCTTATTCTTCTTCGTCTTCTTCTTCTTCGTCTTCTTCTTGTTCTTCTTGTTATTATTGTTATTATTGTTCTTCGTTTTTGATTTCTTCCTTTCTTCTTCTTTTTCTTCTTCTTCTTCTTCTTCTTCTTCTCCTCCTGTGTCTTCTTAGTTTTCTTCTTCTTCATCTTCTTGCTCATCTTGTTCTTCTTGTTCTTGTTCTTCTTGTTATTTTCTTCTTTTGCTTCTTCTTCTGTGTCTTCTTCTTTTTCTTCTTCTTCCTCTTCTTCTTCTTCAGCCATTTCGCGCAAGGAAGTGGCTGATGAACTTCAAAACACACCTGCTCTAAAAAAAAAAGAAATCGGGTGTTCTACCAGCATTCAAAGGAACCATATCCAGGAAATCATCCAGGAAACTTGCCGAGTGCGCACAAAAAACCAGGAGTTTGGGCTAACATCCTGCAGAATTTCCTGGAGATGGTTGCTTAGAAGCATGGTTTCGCCCCAAATGTCTTGTATGGGCCATGGTCATGGCACGCTTACCTGGGACGTAAGGGTTGTCCGAATCACCATCCCTAGAGGCCCTAAGTAGAAGGGTGATGCCACATATGACCAATGGGAATCGATGCTGTGCTTGGAGAGACCAGGGACTGTGTTGAAATAGGATACCAACTCAAGTGCCTGGCAGGCGACCCGCGGCTCTTTTGTTTTGAGGCTCGGTGCCTGTTCTATCAACCAGAAGCCCGACAAAAAAGAAGAAGATCCGCATTTCAGGGGTCCAAGCTCCACCAAGTCACACGCCGCAAAAAAGAACCGCCCCTGCGGTTTTTGCTTTTCCTCCTCCCGAGTTTTTCTGTCCGTCCCGCAAAATGTCCGGCTCCCTGGTTCCGCGGTTCCAACCGAGGCCTGGGCTGCTCCAAGGCCTGCTGCACCGCCCGCTGCGCCAGCTCGGAAAAGGCCCCGCCGCTGAACCGCGCCGCCGCCCGCTCGGCGGCCGCGGCCGCGGCGGACGCGACGGAGGCGGCCGGATCGGCCGCCTGGCCCGTGAGCTCCAGCTCCTTCTTGTCCTCGGAAGTGGGAAAAGCCACGGGTGGCGGCCACTGGTGGCGGCCACTGGTTGGTCTTTTCCCCAACGGCTGAAAAAGCTTTGGGGTCTCAGCCCAGATAGGCTCCGGGGTGGGCCGGGGCAGCCCTGAGGTAAGGTTCCACCCATTTTCCACCAGGGTTCCACGAGGTTCTGCGAGGTTCTGTGAGGGCTGGGGTGGTGCGAACCCCAAAAAAAGAGCACCGCATGCTGGGGATATCACCTGAGCTTATTCTTTGTGTGGCCCTGGTTCTCGTCTAAAAACGACGCCTTAGGTCGACTGGGGATGTGGGCCGACTCGCGAGAGGAATGGAGCCTTTCGCCGAGCTCCACCTGTCACCCTTCGGCTCTACGGCTCGTAGGACGAGTCACAAACGCCAAATCCAGACCGGTGCCTGGCTTGGGGATGTCCAACTCTTAACATCGCTCCTTCTCTCAAACACCACCCCTTCTCCTTGGGTTTCCGGAGGTGAATGGGGAACGTACGCCTGGAGGCCTGACTGAACACATCCAACCATGCCCATCAAACTATGACACTCGACTGGGCTTCCTCAGGGACAACTCTGGACCATAGCGGAGCTTGCCCCCAAAACCAAATGGGTCACCCTCTCTTGAAGAGACAGGTTGGTTACTCTGAAAGGCACATCCAGACCATTGCTACCATAAAATCACCTCAGCCAAAGCGTCTCGAGAAGATGCGGTTCGGCTGCTCATGCGTTTCCCTTGCCTCAGGCGACGGCAACGCATCGGTGTCTTCGCGCCATTGGGAGGGAGACCAAGCGCGCTCTTCATTGCGGTTTCTATTTTGGAATGTCGGCGTTTCGGCATGTTTGCTTGCCTTTCGGTGGCCCCAAAGGGGATATATATATATATATATATGCAACCCCCCCCCCATGGACCCTGGTTTTACTGCCTTTTGGGGATGGCAAATCTAGAATTTCCCAAATTTATATTCTCGAAATTTTCCAATTGTGGGTCCCCAAAGCGTGATAATTTGGAGCCCGGAGTCCTCCACAATGTCCCAGTATGATACCCTTTGCAAATAAGATGTTACTTCAACTAGAATTGGAATGTTGAATTTAGTTTAGTATGGATATAGCTTTCAAAAATGTGTTTATGTTCAATTACAGCTTAAACAAGCAAATCCTTTCCAAATAGCAGCTACATGAAAATGTAAATATATATTTTCGGCTAAACTCCAACTAATCTATAACACAAGAAGTTAGATGGAAGCTTTTTCCCAAATATAATCCAAGTGGTAAATATAATCTAAGACGAACACAACTCAATTTGCTTTTGATAATATCAAGTGAATAGAGACTACATCTCAAATATAATTCATATTAAATATAGCTAAACATTTGGAAATTAAAAATAGGATTTGTGTTGTTTACATTCTGGCCCTTTTGTAGCATAAGAATGGTCCGACATTGAACTTGTTAGACGGTGTTCCAAAGGGAAATTTCAAGGGAACAGAGGTTCAAAATCTAAAACTATCTCGAAACAGGGATTCTAGCTAAACCGTTGTATTTAAAGTTCTATTTGCGCAGGAAAGCTAATTCTATCTCAAAAGGTGGAGGTAGTAGATGAGCAAATGTGGACAGGTAGTTGAAGAGGGTGGGGGACGGTGTGTGAACGTACATACATATGTATATCTGTATGTACACATACATACACACATACATAGTACCCCCAATGATCCTGCGCCTCCTCATAAAATACTGGAAAATGCAGTATTTTGAGCGCTGCACCTGCCTTTGTTCACCACTTTCCTGAGAATCATCCATCCTGGTCAACCCCTAAAATGTTCAAGTTGTTCTATCACCTCGAACATCCGTTACCACTGGATTGAACTATTTCACGGAAAACTTTTCCGAGAATCTTATTGAACACCGAGAGTATTGGGACAACCCTGGATTTTTTAAAACTTTTTAAAAATTATGGGATTCAAGATTCAAGATTCAAGATTCCCAGAAAATATGTTCTCACATTCTTGAATCTTGAATCTTGAATCCCAGAATTTTTAATAATTTTTAAAAATGTCTGAGTTGTTCTTGTATTCTTGGATGCATTCAAACTCTTTCAGATTGCAGGTGCTGATGTCATTGCTTTTATCACATCTGTATGCATGCATGCGTATCATATACATGTATGACCCTCCCCCCAATTTTGACACAAATCCAAGAAGCAAAAAGAAGCATAAAATACTGGAAAATACAGGTCAACCGCACCAAACCAGGGTCCATGGGGGGGGGGGGGCTTTACCACTGGATTGGGGATTCAATATTGAGGAGCCCACAAACCACCACTTTCCTGAGAATCATCCATCCTGGTCAACCCCTAAAATGTTCTATCACCTCGAACATCCGTTACCACTGGATTGAACTATTTCACGGAAAACTTTTCCGAGAATCTTATTGAACACCGAGAGTATTGGGACAACCCTGGAATTTTTAAAACTTTTTAAACATTATGGGATTCAAGATTCAAGATTCCCAGAAAATATGTTCTCACATTCTTGAATCTTGAATCTTGAATCCCAGAATTTTTAATAATTTTTAAAAATGTCTGAGTTGTTCTTGTATTCTTGGATGCATTCAAACTCTTTCAGATTGCAGGTGCTGATGTCATTGCTTTTATCACATCTGTATGCATGCATGCGTATCATATACATGTATGACCCTCCCCCCAATTTTGACACAAATCCAAGAAGCATCAGAAGCATAAAACACTGGAAAATACAGGTCAACCGCACCAAACCAGGGTCTATGGGGGGGGGGTACCATATATATATATATATAATATGTATATATATATATTGCATATATATATATATATATCACCCTTCCAAACCGCCGAGAGAGAATAACACGGGCGAGCCCTTTTTGGTGTTGGCAAAGGGGCGTTTTCGCTCCGTCGGAGGATCAGTTCGGAATCGTGAACTAACCTCTCCTGCCCCCCCCCCCCCCAAAAAAGAAAAGAAGGTTGATTTGGTGTGGGTTCCTTTTGGTTACCCTACTGTCCCTTAAAACCCATCGGCAGAGCTGTCCCCCCCCCCTAAAAAAAACATGAAACAGCCCACCGCCGGCATTCCAAGGAGCCCAAGGCTCAACGCGCTGAGCATGCCAGACACACGGCCCATCTTCAGCTTGTTGAGTAACTCCCTGAGCGGGCAGCGATCGGAAGGGACCACCCCTCATTTAAGAAACCTTGCGCTTGCGAGTGAAACCAGTTGAAACCACTCGCCTCCAAACATCAAGAGACAATTTTCAGAACAAGCTGACATAAGGCAATCTGTGCCTTGAGCTCGGATTCATCCAAGGAGCCGCGCGGCCACTGGCACATGCTCAGGCTCAGCTGAGGCAGCATCCTGGGCGCGAAATATCCACACAGATTGCCAATCTGGCGAGGCAATCAGCCCTAGCCGCTGATCACAGTACTTGACCTCGCTTCGGAGTCGTTCACGTTCCTGCATTCAAGCCATGAGCTAAATTTTCGGCAAGCCGCCCGCGCCCCACCAGCTGCGGCGGCAGCCGCAGACGCAGCTGCGGCTGCGTGCGGTGTGTGCGGCACGCCGGGCACCGCACGCGCAGTGCTGGATGCAAAGGACGCCGGAGAGGTGTCAGCCTGCACGCCCTGCACAAATGCCATTCCGACATTCTGACGTGGAAGATCAACATGCTCAACGTCCGAAGAACAGTGATTTGGGCGTGCCTCTTTTGAGGGTAACCTTTTTTTGCGGGTGTTACAGAAAAAAACCAGAGGGAAACCACTTTTGTCGGGGGGGGGGGGGGGCCAGGAGGGGGGGGGAAGCGGTCGCGCCTGCCAATGCGTCTCCCGGGCGGGCACACTCCGGCGCGCACTGACGGCCACGGCCACGGATGCCATGGAGTCCTGGGAACCGACGCTTCAAGTCGGAGTTCTGATGCGTAAGGACCAGGGCTGTGGAAATGGAATCCACGGAATCCACGGAATCTCCGTGCTACAACAAGCCCTTCCCCAAAGACGAACCCCCCACATAAAGGTGGAGACTCCCCTTGTATCACAGAAGTGGGACCTCTGTGACCATTGAATCCTTGAAACCATGGGCACCGGGGCCCGGAACCGGTTCACTTGTGCTGCCAACTTGTTCCCACTCTGAAAATGCACTGCATGTAAACGGAGAAAGCTTGGCGGGCGGCATCCCAAGAAGACGAGGTGCCTAAAACAGATGGTGCCTCACCCCTGGACGCTCTCTCCCTCTCCTGTGCGTGTGCCGGTGCTTGTGGATCTCCCGTACTATCTGCAGACGAGGGCACATCAGAAACCTCAGAGTTGGCTGAAAACCGCCATTTCGTTCAGTCCACAAAAGTTCAGATGATGTGTTCGTATCGGTCACGATGATCCAACATATATTTGGAACGAGCAAACATGTTCCTGTGCCGCGGCTGGCTCGAACTTGCTGCTCCCATGGCACTCACCAGAAGGTCCGATCGGGTTCCGGGGGAGCAATACCAAGAATCCGAACGGGACCGTCTAGATGGGACACCGAGAACAGCATCTCTCGTGCACTCATGCTCAGGTGCTCAAGAATATGCAAGGTGTTGGCACATGCAGGCAGGCGAATAGCCCTTTGACGTCAACAACAACAGTGTCCATCTGCCAAACCAAGCAGCTCTTCTGGCTTCCGCCCTGGGCAGAAAGGCAGGCGACGAGGCTCTTACTCTATCATGGACAAAAAGCGCTGGAAAAAAAGATATGTTTGGCACAATCCAACGCGGGCATCTGGCATTCTAGAGCACCACAAGGACTGGATTGGCAACAACTGCTTGGCACCGAACAAACAAAATGTGTTTCTGTGGCTCTTGCAGCAACGGGTCTTCCACACAAGACAGGGGCGCGTGTTTTCTTGAGTGCCTTTCTCAGGCAGGCTTTTTTCTAGGAAAACAGGAGAAAAACTCGAATCCATGTGTTTTGACACATACCTATGTGGCGTTGCATCTAATTAACCCAAAAAGGGGGGGGCACCTCAAAAAAAAAACGCACGGCACCTGTTTGGGGTTTACCCAATTTGGGGTTTTCCCCTTGGGGTTGCTTGGAAAATGCAGGGAGTACGACCAAAGCGCAAACCCGTAACCCGACCACGCGCCCTGCGCCCACGTGATGCGAATCCAGCGGCGGGTCGACCGACTGGTTGTACCGCTGCACGTGGTTCTCCAAGCCTGGGCTCTCCAGACCGGAACCCCCAAAAAATGTGGAAAAAAAAGGAGAAACAAAAACGCGGAGCAGCGCGCCCGTCTTGAAAGGACCCATGTTTTCCGTTTTTGTGAGAAAAAAAGGAAAAATGAAGGGAAAACGAAACCAATGTCTCTAAACAGTTGGCTGCGGCTTCCGCTCAAAGAACTGCACACCCAAATGAGAGACCAAACAATGACGAGGGCCCTGGGTGGGTTGTCCTTTTCCCTCTAAAGACCGCTCCATGAAAAACTTCAATCCCAGAGCTTCAATCCCACCAGCCCTCTTTGTTTCCAAGCTCTTCATATCACCCATTCCCTCAAGGAGCGCCTGATGCGTCCCTTCGCGGGGGGGGGGGGGGAAAAGAAGAAGAAGAAAAAAAATATTCGCAGCAAAAAAAAACATGGCAACCGCTTTCCCCTGACAACGAGCGGCGGGACTGCCAGAAGAACGCGGACTTCTTCAGGGCCTCCAGCTTCTGCTTCCTGAAACACAAGAATTTAGGCCACAAGGCGAAGGGCCCTTTGTCAAGGCCAAGTAGGTGGCAGTTGTTTTCTGTGCGAAGGCGCAAACCAATAGGTATACATGGACATGGATTTTAACAGTGAGCCCTTTCCAAAATGGTAGAGGAGGACGTCCACTATTTTGTGGTCCCCAATCAAAATTCATGCCCACATGAAAACAGAAGGAACATCACTTGAGTCCGGCCTGTGGCACAAGAAAACAAGGCTGCGAGGTTTGCCCCTGGTGTCCCACTGTGCCAAATGTGAAAAAAAAGCCGAGGGGCAGCTGTGTCACGCGATCATCCTCTGTGTTTTCCTGCAAGCGACCCATCCGACCGCTTCGGAGGAGAAAAATGGGCAGTGGGTGCCATCAGTCGGGCGATTCAAATCGCACGCTGGATCACGTGGCTCAGAAGTGACCCAATCAGCCCTGCCGAAATGGAAAAAGGGAGAAACCTTTGGTTAGGCTGGCCCACACAAAACGCTCGGCAAATAAATCTCTCCTGAGCCGCGTTCCGCGCGTCGCCTGGGAAAACGCCGGCATTGATCCTTGGTGCGGCGAATGGGGCTCTGAGCACAGCTCAAGCAAGGAATTCAAGAGCCCATCAGCATAAGCATATTTGAGACAAAAGTGGTCATAAGCGTACTTTTATGGTGGATGCTTGTCCGGCAAAAGTGGTCACCACCAGTTCTCAACAGGAGCAAGATGGAATTTTCAAGATCTTAAGGGAACCGCGAAAGTCTGAGTCCACTCCTTGCAGCCCCAGGGCAGCTCCTGCAAATCATCTTTGGGCACCATGGCCATGAGGACCCTGGCCAACTCGCGACTCAAGCCTTCCACGAAACGAAAACCTGTCACTGAACTTCTCGCTTTTGCTTTTCGTTTTTGTTTGCCGCCTGGAGCCTCGCGCCTCTGCACAACCTCCCCCCACCAGTGAAAAGCAAACCAGGCAGGCGCGGCTTCTTCTTCTTCTGAACCTGGCGTGCTGCTCTCTCGCAAGCGCATTCCCTGCCCGCCGGAAGCCCCAAACCAGGCACCCCCCGCCCCCACATTGACCACGCCGCCAACCCCGGAAAAAACACGGAAACGCGCCATCCCCCCCGCGCGAAAAACTTCCCCCAGTCGCTGCTTGGTTGCCGCAACGACCCCCCTGCAAAAAAAGTGTTTCAACTTCTTGGGGGGGTTAGTGGTTAAAACACAACTTGATTTCCACCACAAACTTAGTCTAAAGATCCGTTGCCCCACAGTCGCTGAGCGCCTCCATCTTCAGCTGCTTCGCCGCCTGCGCCAGCTTCTGCTTCTGGGTGGCCAGCGCCTGTCAAGTCGCGTGGCCGAAGAGGTCAAAAGCCAAAGCCCGGTTAGGTCCCAGCGAACATCAACCCATCCAACCACTAAGATAGACGACTCACATGGGTGGTGAATTCACCTAACCCAAAAATGGGATCCCAAAACGGCTTTGACAACCACAGCCCAGCGACCTTCCTGCTAGCCACTAGCCTCTGGTCCATGTTGCCATGTTGCTGTGTCCTCGTTATGGAAATGGTCCTGGAAGAAGCCCATTTCCCCGGCAGTCGTGGACCCTCTAGTAGGTTCCATGTAGTGGACAGAAGGGAAATCCTGTTTCTTTGCGTTGTTTTCGGGGCAAGGCCAGTGACCAGAGATTTGCGGCAGGGCATCAAAAGGAACGGCTGTGGGTCGCGCTTTGATGTGTCAAGCGAGGCTGCGCTCGTTCCGTCCGCCGGCTCGAAGTCTCGCCGGAAATTCGGTTCCAATCTCATCTTGTCCCATCGGGTAAGGTCCCCTGGTTTTCACAGGGGTCAATTTTTTCGACAGCCTGATTTACACGGGGGATCCTCTAAATCAGCCGGTACAGTTATGTATCCATAAGGGACTCTGTTTCATGCTGAGCATATCCCAAAACGAAGCGCTCAAGGCAGGATTTGGTGCTGCATGGGCAGAACACGGGCCCTGTGATGTCTTGCGCTGTCCCCTCCAAAGGACAGTTGGTGAGCACCTTTTGCAGTTCCAGTCGAGACGTCCCATGTGGGAAGTGTCCAATCCGCATGCGAGCAAGGGAAACGCGTGTGTTTTTTTGCACCCCAGTAAAACCGAGCCTCGAAAAACGCCAATGACCCGTGCCAGCCAAAGTGAGAAGACCTTGCCTCACCTAGCGCTGCTTCTTTTTCGGGGGGGTCTCGGTCGAGCTGTTCGCCCCCTTGGAGAGGCTCCCTCAAAAGGGAGGCCTGAGGTTCGGGGCGGTGCAGGTTGGCGCCAGTTGGAAACCCATGGGCCCTCAACTGGGGATCCGCTGACAGAATGACCCCGGGAAAAACCCCCCTGCATGAAATGTCCCACGGGAAAATCCTCGCCGGCTCAATTCCCGGACTCGCAAGATCAGCTCCCGTCGGGCCTTGGAGCTTGCGAGCATGCCCAGGCCACTGACCATCCGGCCCAGGGGGCTGTCACCATCCTGCCGGGGGGGGAAATTTGGGGGACCAGCCCCAGCGAGCCAATATCCAGGCTCACATCCGGATGTGACCGCCCGGAACTCTCCATGTCGTCAAGAGCACATGGTGGTGGGGGCTCAAACCTACAAATTGCCCTGGTCAATGGAAAAGTAGACTCAGACCTGCGGTTCCTTTCGTCACATGCCACAAGCCATCTTCAGCGTCAACCCGGCGCTTCCTGTGGAGCAGGTGGAGGTTGATGCACCTGTAATTTCTCGTGTCAGCTTCCCCAGAAAACCAAAGAGAACATCCAATTTTGGCCCAAGGTCTGGATTGGCGGTTTGGTGGTTTGGTGCTTCTCGTTTCCCCGGTCACATCCCAAAGATTCCCAAACCACCAAGTCAATCCACTCCAACCTGACGGATGGCCTGTACACCCCCCCCTTTTTCTGTTTTTTCTTTTTGTTTTCTCCTTTTTTTTGTTTGTGTGCTTTTTGTTTGTTTGTTTTTTGGTGTTTTTTGTTTTGTGTCTTTTTCCCCCGCGGAGATGGCGTATCTCCCTCCCGCACCCTTGGCCGCAGTTTTTCTCTCCCGTCCTCGCCCTCCTTCCCCATGAGCTTCGACGAATGGTGCCGCACCAGCTGCGCCAAGCGGCCTGGGGATCTGAGATCAAAGGAGCCAACTCGCTGCTTGGAGAGGGGCGGGGAAGGAGACGTGGAAGAGGACCCCCCCCCCCCAAAAAAAGGGGGGAAAAAAACGGGTTGGTGCCGGTGTTCCTCAAGGGAAACCCCATCTAAGCGGTGCATTCCCACCCAAAAAAAAAGTTGGTGCCGGTTTTCCTTCCTTCAGGGAAACCCATCTAACCGGGGGGGATTCCCGAAACCCGGAACGGTCATTCCGTCTGTGCAAGAAAAACGGAGCAAAGACGACAAAGCCTGGACATATTTGGCCAAAAAGTAGATGATCAGAACCAACTGGCAACCACTGCCTATAACAGCAGTCATTAAACCAAAAAAATCACCAGGCTGCTTGACAGAAAAAGAAGAAAAAACGCTTGTCTGCTTGACCGTCAGCCACAAACTCCCAGATCACGGGGCCAAAAAATTCCCTCCGCGCGGACCTAGTGCCGCCGAGATGTCGCCAGGGGGTTTTGCGGCGCCCAGCCCATTCCCCGCATTTCCTCGGGCGCGGCGCCGGAAGCCGTGCGCTTCAGGGGCACCTGCCAGATGCCAAGGCCGCGCGAGCAGCCGAGAGCGAGCTCCGCAGGGGCGGGGGGGTTCAGATTTGTTTGGGGGCCGTGGTCGTCTTTTTTTCCCGCAAAAGTACGACCAGCGCCTCTGCTTGCGAGGGCGCGAAGCGCGTGTGTGCCGGATACGAGCGTTGGCATGTTTGGGTGGCCCTGCACTAGGTGGGCGCTGTCAGCTTGTTTGAGTCGGTACCCAACTTTTGGTGGGTGCCTAAAAGGAAACCCAGAGGAAAGCCACGAAATCCATTTTGGGGATCCTCAGATTTGGGCGATTGAATTAATGGTAGGGCTACTCGGACCATAGATGCTTGCTGGTTCAATATCAACACATCCTCATTCCCTGGCTCACCTCGCGAGATGGAGATTGAGCCCATCAATCAGCTTTCGAGCCTTCCTGCCATGGTGAGCCAGGTAACATGGTGCCTCCAACCATCGCGAATCCATTGGGGCCAGGTTCGATTGGGGGTTTCGGGAACCCGAGGCTCGGCGAGGAATTTCGCTGACACCCACCCTGCCTGCGACACCGAATCCTTGGAGGCAGACTCCTGAGGCAAAGCGGACAACACAAACTTCTTCGCCCAAAGTACAAACTGCACCCCAAGGGCCACCCAATCCATCCTCCCACCCCCAACCCCCCAACCCAACCCCCCAACCCAACCCCCCAACCCCCCCCCACCTCTCCCTCGGTCGCCGCTTCACCTCCGGAGCCCGCCGCCGCCGCCTTCGCCGCCTCCGCGGCTTCCGCGGCCGACGCGTCCGCCGCCGCCGACGCCGCGTCCGCCGCTTCCTCGGCCGCGCGCCGCGCCCGCAGCTCCTCCAGCTCCCGGCGAGCTCGGGCGACCTCCTCCTGAAAAACGAGAGCCGAGCCGAGCTGCACACCCGCAACCACCGCGCCGGCGCCGCGCGCTTAGGCGCAAAGTCACCCAAAAAAGAGAACGGGCAAAAAAAAATGAGTGGTTGTTGTTCTTGGCCTAAGTGATGCTCCAACCGGCTGTTGTGGGAGGGGGGGAATATTGAATTTGCGTGGGGACCCCGAAGCGGCGCGACGCGGAAACGGATGGCGCGCCATCAAGCTCTCGTTGGCCAGCTTCTCCATCTTTAGCCTCGACATGCCGAGCTGCACGGAAACGAAGACGACGGGTGTTTCTCACTAGGAGCCCAAAATGGTGGGTGTCCTTGTCATCTTCCTTGAACCACTAAAAGGGGTCCACCAATTTGAGAAGCTCCCATTGCTGTGTGTCGCGTTCTTGTTTGAGGCTCGGTAGCTGTTTTGGGGGGTGTAAAATGTAAAAGGGAAGCCAAGAGGAAGCCCTAGGCTGAACACCTTCACACGGACCTGACAAGGAGTATAGGGTTGAAGGGCTGCCGTCTTGATTGGTTAGAAAAGCACGGGACTTCGCAAAGATATTGGCACTCGCATCCGGAAGCTGGCAAGCTATGCTGAACTTGTAGACCCCATGACCAACTCTGCGGTGCGAGCTGTCGGTGTCATGGCCTCACCCGTGAGGCTTCAAACAAACCTGACAAGCCCCGAAGCTTCATTGATTCATCTCAAACATGGGCCAAACAAAGACAAGAACTAACTAAGGGCCCCAACAAAATGTCCCACAAACCCTTCAAAAAGCAGCACAAAAAGAAGAAGAAACAACACCAAGACACCCAGAGAAGGCGCTCCAAAGTTCGGAAAAGGGACCAACCAACCAACCAACCAACCAGGGCTAAGGGGGGACCAAGGCTAGGAAACAAAAACACCATCTCCCCAGAAACAAAGCAAACAAAACCAGAAACGTTGGGCCCCAAGACTTCCCGCCCGGTCCAAACCTCCCCGAAACCGTCCTTTCGTCCGTCTTTCGTCCTTCTCCGGGCCAAGGGGCTGGTGCAGCACCTGGCGCCTCGCCTCCCGCTGCGCGTCCCGGGCCGCCTGCTCCTATCAAGCGCTTCCCGGGTCTCCCACTCCAGGGGATGAACAGCCACAGCCAAAGAACAAGGGCTGCCCACTTTGTGCAACTTTTTGCCTCCCCAACAGTGGCATGTCCTAGTTGGAATCCATTCTTTGGGCAAACAAAAGAAAAAACCACAGCCGTCCGCAGGCCCATGTGAGCGACCAAAACTTGCAGAACCCATTGCCTTTTGGTTCTAGCATGGCTAGTAAGGTGGCTTTTTTTCTAGGGACTACTATGATCCGCATTAAACCAGGTGGCTGTGGGTCAAAATTAACCACCCAGGACCGCAGATGTTAGTTCATATTTCCATTTACCAGGGTTGAATGTTGAGTACCCATTTTTGACCCGCAGCCAGGTAGAGCCACCGACTCACATCCTGAAATTCCGGGCGCGAGCCAAAACTCGGCTCCGCGGCTCCTCCGCGGTTCTCTTCGGGGAAAGCGGGCTGGCGACGGACTCCTGAGACCCGTGGCAAAGGGGGGGGGGGGGGGAATGGGGCAAGATGACACCACCGTACTGTGGATGGACTTCCAAAACCATTTCACGTTGAAACCATGGGAGTCCATTTGTCGGTCATATTTGAAGGAAACATCCTTCCAGAATTCATGAGATGGTGCAGGAGTTCACCCATCTAGTATTTTTTTCCGCATCTAGGGCAACCTTTCGCGGCAGGACTGGAAATGGTTGCCACAAAGGGAGCACCAAAAGGTCATGTCCGGTCTATTCGGCGGTTGCAACTGAGAATTGGGATCATTGCCGTTGGTTTCCTTTTTGTCTCCCCTTGCATACCAAAGTGAGAACTCCACATGGCCTCGGTGACCGTCTGCAACTCATGCCAGATGTAGATTGCCCATGCCAGATGTAGATCACTCCATTTCTGCTTGATGAAAACCAAATTGGCCACAGTCCTGTTTTTCGCTGTGCGGAAGCACTGACGAAACACTGGATGTCCGTCACAGTTCCAATCCTGTAGGCTGTGACGGGATATGTCAACTTGATGGGCATTGAAGCTCGAATGATGCCTGCAGTACCACTTGGCACAGAAGCAACACCCAATGGACTCTGATTTCGACCTTTTGTTTTTCCAGAGATGGCCCGAACCCCGCGTGAGCCATGCCTGGCGCGGCTGCGGAGACGCCGCAGGCACCGCTTCCAGCGGCGGCTCCGCCGGCGGCTCCGCCGGCGGCTCCGCCGGCGGCTCCGCCGGCGGCTCCGGTGCGCGCGGCGAGCCTCGGGCTGAAGCTCGCGGTCGACGAAGAAACCGAGCGAAACCGACCGAAACCGGCGCCTGGTCCTGGGCTTGGAGAGGGACCTTGGGCGCCGAAAGGCGGAGAGCCGCCTTTCGGGTTTGTTTTTCGCATGTGAGTGACTTTCTTCGCCCAAGTTTGTAGGAACTTTCGGTGAGCCAGAAGTGTCCAGACGAGTCAGTGATTCGTCGCCCTGAGATCCCTTGAAATGCGAATTTTCAGACACGGAGCTCGACACGCCAAGCCACCCGTCCCGGAGGCCGAGCGCGAACCCGTGGCCATGGCGGCCACCGAGATCGTGCTGCTGTGCCGCATCGGCTCTTCCGCCTCTTTGAAGGGCACCCAAATCAGGTTTGGCTTCGGATTGGTGGTTTGCAGCCTAAGTAGTTTGCCAAAAAAAAAACACCCCACAAGAACCAGAAGAACTCAAATCCGCAAATCCGCAAATCCACCAATCCACCACTCCAAAAATTCCTTACAACCCGCGGACTTCCAGACGATTTGCCCTCCTGAGAGGCGATTTCCCGCGCGGGCCTCGTCCGCCTCCGAGTTGAACTCACTCCCAATGGACTCGGTCTCCGACTGAAGGGGGTTTTCAACATGGGCGTGCAAAAGCCGTGGCAACTGGCGGCAACCTCCCCACCAAACCGTGAGGATCGATCGAACGTCTCTAAAAAAAGCCCCACCACCACCCCCCCAAAACAAAAAAGAAAAAAAAAAAAAAAAAAAAAAAAAAAAAAAACGATTTGTCGGGTTTCCCGCGACCTTTGAGGCCGGGATCCACAAGACCAGGGAGAACCACCCAGATTGGCCCTTTTGGGGGTCCTCCGTCTTCTCCTCTGGAGCCGCTACGGCTTTCGCGTCCACACCACCACTCTGCGCGCGTTGCCTTGAGCCGGCACCGAGAAGTGTCAACAAGCTTTGCCAGTTTTACAAGTTTTGTTAGAACCATGAGGGATGTCCTTTTGGTTTCCTGACACGCAAACAAACAAACAAAAAAACAATGAAACAAAGAAATAAATAATCAACCAACCAACCAAACAAACAAAGAAACAGCGAAGCAAAGAAACAAAGAAACAAAGAAACAGGTCCGCCATTTGGAGAAACCGTATGATTTCTGCACTTCATTCACGTTGGCTAGCACCAAATGCTGTGCGAAGGAGATTCAGCCCGAAGCGAAATCTCCCTTTTGGGCGTTGCGTATCTACATCCCGAAATCCCAGCATTCCCTTGGACAGCCAATCCCAGTGAGTTAAGAGGGCAGTCACTTCAGCCAACGATGTGGCTATGGGTCAGAGTTAAACACCAGGGTACCGCAGGTCTTAGTCCTTCTTCCAACTCACCAGGGTTCCATTTGCAGACGATTTGTCACCCAGGTCTTAGTGCACCTTTTAGTCCAGGCTTGAGTCCATTTACCAGTTCCCACTTACCAGGTGTTTAGTCCATGTTTGACCCATATGCAACCAGATTTTAACCCACAGCCAGGTTTTCTTACCAGATTTTGACTCAGATTTTGACCCATTTTCTTACCAGGTTTTGACCCACAGCCATATGCAACCAGCTTCTGCTTCCATATGGAAGCAGCCTCTGCCCAGGCGCAGGAAGACCTGCATGGCGCGCTTGGAGTTGGAACGCGCCAGCGGCTCCTCCGCTTCGTCTGTGGCCTCACGGGCGACCGGAACCGGGTGCCCGGTTTTGCGCGGGAAATGTCACATGCAAGCCTAAAGTTGATCCGACTGCCGCATAAAGAAGTAAACACAAAAGAATCATAGCAAATATGTATATATATATATATATTGATATGCGTATATATATATATATATATATATATATATACATATACATATATATATATATGCATGTGTTACAAACAAAAAAAACAAGAAGATCGCATTACATCCAAGCCGCGCTGGACATCGAGTCCTTGGCGCGGGCGCCCTCTTGTACGGTGGCTGCCTGAGGGCAACGGCCACGGCAACGGCTTCTCAGGAGGAGACCAGGAGGAGACCTATGGGAAATCACAAAAGCGACAGCCACTGAAAACCCCAGGTTCTCCAGCCAGGATTCTTAGTTGCCCAGAACATCCCGGAAGCAGTTGCGCAGTAGGGAAGGAACCGGAGAAGATTCTCTCAAAGGCAAACCACCAGTTGGATGGTTCCTAGGGGTCCTTCCATGAACCGGAGTCTTAAAGGAAACCATACAAACAAAAAAACAAAAATAAAAATATAGGGTCCTTCCATTTCTTATTCCCCACACTCGACCCCAACCTCGGAGCAACCTCGACCCCCGACCCTCGCTCGGATGCTCCGCGCGGGCGTCGGCGTCACGGGCGGCGGGGCCTTCACGCGCTTCAGGCGCCGCTCCCGCTGGGCGTTGGCCGCCTGCTGCGCCTCCAGCTCCTCCTGCAGGTCCTGCAGCCTGCGGATCGTGGGCGAGCCGCTGGAGCCGGGGGCCGTTTGGAGCCGGGGACCGTTTGGATTCCTTTTTTCCCCATTCTTTTTCAAAACCCGGATGGTTCCTGGGAGTTTTGGATGGTTTCCTGGAAAGAAGGATCCCTGGAAAGAATGGAAATGGAAGGTACCAGTAGAGCCGTGGGGTCTGGGGACGTTTCGACGTCTCTCATGTGGCCTCTACAAACGCCAGGGGTTCTCCAATCCCAAAAAAAAATCCCCTCCGAAAATCGAAAAGGGCCCCTCCTTTGGACGCACACGTACCCAAATCCAAAAAGCTGTCGCCCAGTTGCAATTTCTCAACGTGGTTTGTCTTCTTTGGGCTTCCCTTTACCGACCAAAAGGCTACACCATCTTTTGCATGGCCTTTCTAGGACAGGAAGCCAACCACCTGGATGGGGCTCCAAAAACTTTGAGAAGCATCTATTTGGGTTTATGGTTCTTGAGACTTCTCTTTTCGAGGCTTTCGAGGGAAGCCAAAGCGACACCGATGCCCAAAGGGGACACACCTATACCCACATGGGAACCCTCGGAAAGGGTATGTCACATTTACTGGGAACCCTCTTTGGTGGACAGCGATTAAGTGTCTAATGTACACTCCCTTTTGCAGGGGGGGTTCCCCCAGTTACTCATAAATTCTAAAAATCGCCCACTCAAGAAGACACCCACAAAAACCGAGCGTTTGTGGGCGCTCGGCCCCGAAAAAGCTGTCAATGGCCAACTCCCAAGCTCCACACCTCTTCAAGGGTCTCTGAATACGAAACCCATGTGGATTCCATTGCGTGCACACACCTAGACCGGTTGAAGAAAAACAAAACGCAGAGAAGCTGACCCGGCCGGGGGGGCAAAAAAACAAAACGAGTTTTGCTCTGTGCCATGCTGGGGTTTCTTCCTGCTCTTTCGAAGGCGTGTGCCTGACAACTCGGGACAGGCATGCATCTCGTGGGCTCGGGCTCCACGGTGTAATTCCGCTAAAATCGAAGAAAGCACCCGGACAAGCCTGAGACTTGGATGGAAAACTCCCTTTTGGATGGTTCCAAAAGCACACGCAGAAACCATGTTTCCAACCATCAAAGTGGGCATGGGGCGTCCCCAAAGGAAACAACATCTTCAAACCAAATACCGTCAGCTTTGGTTGGAGGGAGGCGATCATTTTGAAAGTTGAGTCGCAAAATGTGGAAGAAGGCCTCGAGATGCTCATGCCCATTGCGGCCCCTTGACAGTCTGCTGGGGATCCGTGAATCCTGTTCGGGTGTCTTTGGGATTGAGACGCCGGACTGGAGATGCAAAACAGCAGAGAGCAAAACCAGAAAATACTCGCCACCAATCACCCGTTGGTCGGCTTTCAAGGAACAAATGAAAGCAGATCCCACCCGTTGCCGGCCAAGACGCTGCTGTGCATGTCTTTTCCAGGGTTTCTGTTAAAAGACTCGCCGCAATAAAATAATGAGATGCGGCCCGACCATGGGCCCCAAATGTTTTTCGCCGAGCCGCGACGTTGCGGCCTCCTGAGATGCAAATGCTGCAATCCGTTCCGATCAAAATGCGCGCCCTAGCCAAACATTTGAGGCACGGGCGAAATTGCCATATGGGTGTGTCTTTTTGAGGGGAAATCCCAAACTGGTGGTTTTTCTGTTGATTAAGCCAGCCAAAAAGGGGATAGCCTCAACACAAGAAAGCCCCATACTTTCCGAAGAGGACAAGGGGAATTGGTGAGTGCCTTGGTTGTGATTGAATCTTTGAGCTCGTCCCCCATGTTCCCCGCAAATGGACCACAGACTTCTGGGTCTTTTGTTCATTGCTTTTCGTTCGGAACCTCATCTGCAATCCTGACACCGAAGCGCCGCGTACATCAGATGTTCGTGAACAGCTGTCTAGGTGTGCAGCCTCCTGTCAGTTCTCGCATGGAAAAAACGTAGGCTCGAGTTAAGAATGTTTGCAGATCGCCGTTTTCAGTCGGTGCATTTTGAGGGTACCCTTTTTGGGGCTGTTTCTCATGGAAGCCCCCAAAAATGGCGACCTTTTTTGGGGTTGTCTTTGAAAAAGGGAAAAGCCGAAAGCAAAACACGGAAAAACCGCCTGCCCATGTTGAGAGTAGCCTTATTGGGGCTTGTAAAGGAAAAACTCCCCACCTTTTCGGGCTTGAGAATCCCATCTCTTGCCGTCCGGGCCGCTATGAAGCTCGTCTGCCGCAAGGAGTTGGTGCGCTCCAGCTTGGCCTTCCGCTCCTGGCGCGGCTCAAATCGGCGTGCTTCGCTTTTTGGAGCCGGTACCCCTTTTTTGGGGGTGTAAAAGGGGAAGCCAAAAGGAGAACCCACCACTCATTTGTTCAAGGGTTTTGGTTCTAAGACTTGGACCCAAAACGGCACTTGGACCCCCAAAGATGGATCTCTCAGCCTTCGAATCTTTCAGGGCACAGAATCGATGTCCTGATTGGCCAGCTTGAGGCCCAGCACGGCGATCTGCACTTCTTGGAACTCGTCCTGGCACGCGGGCTTTTTTTCCATTGGTGTCTAAGCAGAACGAGGTTCTCTGAAAAATTCCCTTTGCCAAACACGGGTGCTTCCATCTTTGAGGGGGGTTGTGAAGATGGTTGGGGGGTGAGTCCTTTGTGGTACCAAAAAAAGGCAGGTACCAGCTTCGACAATGGGGGCTTTTGCAAAACGGGCCATCTTTTTCTTTCTCGGCCGAAAAACACTCTTGACAGCCCCCCCCCCCCCCGAAAACAAAAAAAAAAGGCAGCCGCAGGTCGGTCCGAGAACTGCTTCACCACCTCCGGGCCCGTTGGCTCCTTGTTGGCCAGCGCCTCTGGAATCGACGCATCGGCGGATCGGTTTCGAGTTTCGGGTTTCGAATCGGCCCCGAATCGGCCCCGATTCGTCGATCGAATCCACGACAAACTCGACTCAGAGCAAAAGAGCCCTGAGCGACTCATGGAAATCCGGGGGGAAACCAAACAAGAACACAACTCATTGAATCACGTGAGGCCAAGGGCGCGGCCAGGGAACCAAAAACTTGCACCGGTCCCGGGCCCCGGCCTTGCCGGTCCGTTGCAAGATATCCTTGGTCTGCTCCAGCAAGCCCTCAGCCTCCTGAGTGATCCAGGCATCCTGGTCCTGTCCAAAGGCCTGCTCGTCTCTTACTTGGAAGCATGGCAGTTCAAAGAATGCGGCGACGACAACAAATGCAGCATTGTGGGCTATCCTATTATTCGTGATATTGTGTGGATTATGGTTATCACTATCAGCATGCTGGTTATTGTAGAATTTTAGCATCTAGGTATTCTGTGTTAACTGTTCATTATCAACTGTTTTTATTAGTTTAGAATTGTATGCGTAATTAGCAGTAGTAGCAGTAGCAGTAGCAGCAGCAGTAGCAGTAGCTGTAGTAGTAGTAGTAGTAGTAGTAGTAGTAGTAGTAGTAGTAGCAGTGGTGGTAGTACTAGTACTAGTAGTAGTAGTAGTAGTAGTAGCAGCAGCAGCAGCAGCAGTAGTAGTAGTAGTAGTGGTAGTGGTACTGGTAGTAGTAGTCATAGAAGATAGATAAGTATTGCGGGTAGTAGTACTAGTTGTAGCATTGGCATCTCCATTGTCACTCTCGTTGTCATTGTCAGTATCACTCAGAGTACATTTAGTATGTATACTATATCTATACATACGTAAATGGGTCAGAAACAAGCGGCCAATAATTGACGATGCGGCGCTTGCAAACCACAACTCCCACAAAAAAGGAACATAACAAAACAAAGAAACCAAGCAATACCAAGAGCGTTCCTCTTTTAAAAGCAGCGACCTGCCCCGTTGCTCCTTCAAACGGAGCCTTACTTAGGCCCCACCCAAAAGGAGCCGTTTCCGTCTTCCGTATGGCTCCCTTCGCTCGATGTCGTCGCTCCATGACGCCGATCGCTCGTGTTTCAGAGCAACGGCCTTCCCAAAATCCGAGAAAAAGACATGTCGAGAAGGGGAACATCTCCTAAAAAACCAGCGCCGAAGCTTCAAAAACCCAACAACAAAAAACGACGTGAACTTTTATGCGGGCGGCAAAAACCTTGCGGAGGTGTTCATGCATCTTTTGCTCCTTCTGCTCCGCGCGGATGTCTGAGAGCAGCATATTCCCCTGAACCACCATCGCCTTGATCTGCTTCAGAAGGCCTCAGAACCCTAAGGCGAGTTGGCGAGTTGGCGACCTTGCGGTCGCAAAACCGACCCTTGGAATAAAACCCCATCTAAACCAGTGTCGCCTAAACAAGCGCCACCTGCGAGTTGGGACATTCCGGTCGCATGAGCGCGCGGAAAACGCCGGACGGCCGCCAAAGTCTTTTCAACAACATCTCCTTGGCAACTTGGGCGTTGCATTCCCGCGCCTGCGTCCGAGCTGTCCTGCTCGGCCTGGATCACATGGGGACAGACGACAGGGAAGCGGACACCCGCAAACGACTTCTTGGAGAGGCCAAGCGTCAAAGGCAAAAAAAGTCTTTGGATATGTACTTGCCAGCCAACACCCCCCAAAAAACAACAAGAAGCAAAAAACAGTCTTTCAGATCAAAACGCTTCCTGTCTAGCCAAAAACAACTCGACCGCCCGACTCGCGCGGCCTTGCGGAGCTCTTCCTGGCGGGCCCGGGACCCGGGGCCCCGGACCCGGCCGCGTGTTCCAGGGGGTTTTCCCAGAGGAAAAACAACACCGTGCTGATTCTATGTGCGTGTGATGTGTTGTTGTTTTTTTGTGTTTTTTTTGTCTTTCTGGTTCTTTTTTGGTTTGGGGGGGGGGGGCCTTAAAAGAAAAGACACGCCGGTAGCAACACAACATAAAGTCCCCTACCTGATGAACGTATGGGGGGGGGGGGCTGGGGTCAGGTTTAAAGCTGTTTCTACGTCGCGGTCGCCAACGATGTCCAACGGTGACGGCCGTTGCCATTCATCAGACGAGTTTTTGGCCGACCGCCCGACCCATCCTTCATGAACAACCATGTTCGCGCTGTCTACTCCAACCAAAGCACGCGGGCTCAAGCTCGCAACGCGCGCCAACAAACTAACCAGTTTGGCTTCAGACCTCCCAAACCGTCCACAAACCTTGCCACATACCCGCAAAGACCATGTGAAGGGAAGATATTCGCATAGCTGAAACAGGGCAGCAGGCCTCAAGGCGGATGCGCAGGGCGGCTCTGAGAAGGGTTTCGGAGACGCACAGGGCGGTTCTAAGTTCTCGAGAGACACTGCGGCGGATCTCACCTAGGCTTGTTTTCCGTGCGCTCGCGCGTTGAACTCAAAAATTCCTCTGGGGCTCTCCTATCCGGGCTGCCGATCTCGTCTGGACCGGTATGGCGTTTTCACCGCTGTTCGCGTCTTCCAAGCCTTTGCGAAGGCGAGAATCATCCAAGCAGCCACTCTCAAAAGACCCTTGTCCCAAGGGTCAAAAGCGGCTCTTGTGCGCTTTTTCTTTTTTCTTCTCCGGGGGCATCTTGGACTTGTTGGGGTTTAACAAAATCGCGGGCGGCGCCGCAGACCTCCCAGAACCTCCAAACCCTCCCAAACCCTCCCAAACCCTCCCCTCCCAACCCCACCCAAACCCTCCCCTCCACTCACCCTCCAAACCTCCCTCCAACCCTCTCGCACCCACCAGACCCAACCCATCAGACGCCGCGCCTGGCGCGCGGACTCCGCCGCCTTCGCGGCCTTCTCCGCCACCGCCGCCTCGCGGCGCTCCTCCAGCTCCGCCTCCTGGGCCTGGAACGCGGCGCAAACGGCGCGGCGAGGCCCAGGCGCGGCTTGAGATAGGCATGATTTCGAGCTGGATTTCGGCTGAAACGGAAGTGCCCTGTCTTGCAGATCAGGTGGTGCTTAGCAAAGGCGCTGACTGCTTGGCCTTGATGTATGTCCCTCCGCATCAAGCTGCATGGGTGTGTCCACATGACACCAAACAAATGTGGCTTTGAGGCCAGTGAAGCGAAGCGGTACCCCTCACAACTTGCTGGTTCTCAGTAAGGAATGACCTTTCCGGGTTTGGGGAATGAACCGTTTCGGGTTCCCATCAAAGGAAACAACCAGTTGGATGGTGTTTCTGCTGGTCATTCCATTTCTCTGCGTGCTTTTTACTGTAATTCCAGCAGCCAAAAAAAAAAACTCGGATCCCCAAGTAAAAAGGAACGACCCTTTCGCGCTCCCGCGCGCGCTCGCTCGCGGTTCCCCCCCCAAAAAAAAAAAAAAAAAACGGCCCCCGGCCGGGGCCGTCTCAGGTCCCGGGCGCCTCCTTGTGCTCTCGAAGCTGCTGCCGCTTCCGCGCCGCCGCCACCAGCTGCGCGTTGGTCACGTTCTTCGAGTCCTCGGACCGCGGGAGAGCGGGGCGCGAGGATGGATCGAATCCGTGCCGGACGTGGCTGACACGCCAAAGGAGGCGGGCCCCGTGCTTGTTGCTTCTTTTTTTTTCTGATTTGGGTGTTTCATCGAAAATTTGGGGACCCCTCCAGGTGGGCGGTTTCCTTCTGGTTTCCTTTTAAAACCGTCCGAACTCTGGTTTGAGACACGCCCATTTCTTGCCAGGGTGCAGCAATCATCTGGGAGACGGTGGTATGCCTGGCCAGATGTCGGGCTCCCGCCCAAGAAAACTGAACCCAGACGCATGGGGCATGCGGCAGCTACGCGCCGCGCATCCTTCGCACAGCCCAGAAATGCAAAGCGAGCAGCTCGGTCTCAGGGGCGTTGGGGTCCGTGATCGGCAGGACGTTGGCGTCCAAGAGCTCAATCGCCTAACCAACAAAAAGATCCACTCTCAGCTGGCTGTTCGTTTTCAGATCCCCAAAGGTGACCAACTTTTAGTTCAATGGAAATCCAACCAACTAAGAACCCAAGAAGCTAAGGGGATGGTTGGAGCTCATGGTCTCCTTGGAATGAGCTCCGCAGCGCTTTTTGACAGAGATCTCCAAAGCCCAGCCCCGACCGTCCAATGCACCCAGTGGCGATTTCCCGATTCCGCACCATCTCGTGCACCAGCTGCCGGCACTCCGGGGTAACCAGATCGTAGAGCGATCGCCGCGCTGCGGCTTGCTTCCTCGGCAAACCAAAGGAGAAGGTGCCTATCAGGAATCTTGATGGCACGTTGTACCTTTTTGGGGGGACCTCCTTCCTTTAACACGTCCAAGGGCTCCGAGCCTCAAAAAAGGAACACAAGAATCTTTCTGCGAGCATCTTCTCAATGCGAACGAGATCGTCCAGGAGATGCCGCAGGTTGTGCTGCCCCGTGTCCATGAACTCCACCATCCTAACGGATCGTCAGTTTGCCCTCGACCAGCCGACCAGAGTCCCAGGCTGCGCGTTGCGCAAACACTTCCGTCGATGAGTGAGACCTTTTCCCCCCAACGCTCTGGTAGCTCAGACCAAAAAAGAACTTCGCGCCGCGCGGGGGGTCGGTCCACCTTTGCGCCGCACGGCTTTCCGATCCGACGAGCAAACGCGCCTCGCCACCTGCGGGCCGCCTTCCATCGACCTCTTGGCTGCCTCGCGCTCCTCTTCCAGGGCAGTCAGGGCGGCATCCATCTCCTCCAGACCTCAGACCAGAGCTCCCCAGCCGCTTCAACATGTTTCACCCCCCCCTGCGCCGCAGAGCCCTCACATCTCATCCCAATTCCCCCCCCTTCCCCGCCTTCCGCTTGCTGTAGACGCAATCCATCTGCCTTCTTGGACGCTACCCTCTCCTCCACAACTTCCTCCTGGCTTGAGCATCCGAGATCATCCGGAAAACTAACAAAAATGCGAGGCTGCGAGTCACGGAGAAAAAAGTTCAGCTGTCCCATCTGCCCGGGAACCAGCTGAAAAATATCCGCGCCTCCTCGTCCTTCTTCTGCTTCAACAGGGTCTCCAGCCTACGGGCGCCAGCCCCAAAACCAGCGAGCCGGCCTTCTTTTCGGCTTGCTTCTCAAAGCAAAGTGGAAAGCGCCCACCGCGGGAGAAAAAAAAACAAAAAAAACGGGCGTCAAATGAGCGCTATTCATAGCTTAGCCATGCAGCTTTGCGTCATCCTTTGCAGCCGAGCAACGTCGCTTTCAAATCAGCCACCTGGCAGCTACCAACCAACCAACCAACCAACCAACCAACCAACCAGCCAGCCAGCCAGCCAGCCAGCCAACCAGCCCAACCAACCAACCAACCAACCAACCAACCAACCAACCAACCAACCAACCAACCAACCAACCAACCAACCAACCAACCAACCAACCAGCCCCTGTCCGGGGTTAAGCCTCGAGCCGGGGCTAGTTTAAAAGAAAAAATACTTTTCCAGTGTCAAATCTCCCACAAAAAGTGTCCCCCCCAAATCCTGAGCGCGCTTGCAAGCACTGCCTGTTTTTTTGGTTGTTCTCCATCTGGCTGTACCCCCCAACGTCAGACGTCCGCATGTTGCTTGCAGAAGCCAGGCGCCTTCTTCTCCTTGTTCTTCTTCTGCTGCTCCACGCTGAGGTCCTTGTCCTGTCAAATATGGGCATGTTCAAACTCTCCTTATATGGCCTATGTGCTTTCTGAGGGGACCCCCAAAACTTGGTGTCCCTCTAAAACCACTCCAAAAGGAGTACCATCAAAAAAAGACACAGCCATATGGCCTATGGTCGCAATTGAGGATCCTTTCCATGTGGACCATCCAGGTTCACCCGAAAGCTGCAAGGAGCCCTTCGGAAACCTGTTGGAAACCCCATAGCAGCCCAAATTCGCCCGCGAATGACAACTTGGTTGACGTTGGAAGGCGAGCAAACATTTTTAAATGTTAGCAGTTCAGTGGGGAATTCAACCACTAAACCACAATCAGCAAAAGTTCTAAAATGTTTCCCAACAACAACCATGACAAAAGGTTTAACGCGAAGGGAGCCGACCGCGTGAACAGGAAGCTTCCCCAAAGGGGCCGGTCCGCTCGCCGCCCGCCGCTGCCCGCGCCGCAAGAAGCCGCGCCTCGAGCGGCTCCGGCTCATCGCTCTGGGCGCGGGCGAAGCTGGGCACCTGACGTGGCTCCAGAGGCTCGAAGTTGGAGTCGCCAAGATAGGCGGGTCTTCCGGTCTTCCTTTTGGCTTCCCATGAAACAAGCTGGCTTCCTTTGGCCTCCTTTGGCCTCCTTTGGCTTCCTTTGGCTTCCCAAGATTGGCTTCCCAGCGGGGGGGGGGGGGGAAAAAACGTAGCGACTCGAGCCACGTCCGGTTGCCTGTGGGCACATGCGCGACTGAAATGAGTCCCTCATGCTCCCAGAAGAATGAGACCAACTGGACATGTTGACCCAACCGAGGTCATCTGAACAAAATCTTCTTCCGACGCAGCATCCATGCCACTCCATCCATGTCCCCACTGAAATAGACTAAAATGGGAGGTGCACCTACCCCAAAATGGGATCCCAAAACGGTTTTGACAACCACAGCCATATCCAGGGTCTGGGAAGCCGTTGGAAAGGCTTCAGTTCTGCTCAAGCCAAGCAGCAAGCTTGGGGCTTGCTAGCGCTGGCATCGCTGGCATCCAGGTGGGCTTATGCGTACTGCCTTAGCACACGACGAGATGCCCAGACGGACAAAATACTGCCATACCTGCACTTCTACTCAAACTAATGCCTGAAACATTGCTTAGCACATGGGCCTTGCCCAAGTTCGGTCGCTCAAATGGGCGCGGTTCCCTTTCTTGGAGTCGGCACCCCTTTTGGGATGGTAGGAAACCACGAGGGAAGACCTAAATCCGTTTGGAGGGTCCCTGGAAAAAGCAAATCCCCCAATCTCTGGCGAACGGCTGGCGTCCTTCAGCGTCTGCGCGTAGCCACTGAAGATCCTCGAAGGCGGCTACTAGGAAGGGAGACGTGAGAAACAAGCCGAGTTGTAGTCTGGGCCAAATTCGTCAAATATGGTTCACTCAAGGCAGATGTTGCAGATGTTTCTGAGATGCTAGATATATCACCCAATATCCCTGGGCCCAAGTTCGATACTGTTGCACTTGTTGCATCTCTCCTGGTCACCTCAATGCTTGACAACTGCGCTCAGCCCGCAGCTTGTGCTGGCCCGTCTCGTAGGATTTCAAGGCAGCCATCGCCGAGGCCTTGCGCAGCCACGATTTGGCGCTTGAACGGATCGCGCAAGCTCGCAGCTTCGAAGCGGCTTTGACGCAGAAAGACTCAAAGAGTCGGGTCCCGTGGCTATGATTTTTCAGACAAAGAGACCCTGTGGACGTCATTTTGTGGTCGGAACTTACGCCCTCGCCAACCCATGTTTGTGAGGGTCCTACTAAAATTAGCTAAATATGCAGGTTGCTCCCCGGACGGCTCCGCCTCTCCATGTTTCAGCGCTATCTGCGTTGCCTTGCCTCGAGCAAGCGGGCTAACACCATCTGCAACTGGTTCGAGGCATGCGATGTGCGATGCGCGCAAGCTGGGCCCCAGACCGTTGTAGTCGCTGTCTATGGCGCCGGTATGCTGCAGCACGCTTTCTGCGTCCTGTGCATGCTGACAGTGCACGCCTCTCTTCAGGCACATCGGACCCAAATTTGTGTATTCAGCATGTCGCGAGATGGATGCAGACTGTCAACCTTGGACTTGAAACCAACCTGGACAGGTACCCCTAAAAACAACCATTTTAGGGAAACCAACCATTTCAGGGAAACCCCTGGGCGCGTCTTAGAACGGGGACCCCTAAAATGGGCCTCGCTTCGCTTTTCGGTGTCCCCTAGCCAACCCAAGGGTAGCGACTCGCGAGCCGGTCTCGGGGAGTCCAGCGCTCCCCGGCCAACTGAGGCGCTCGGGAGCGGCTCTTCGTTTCGAGGGGAAGGAGGGAGAATTTTGTTCGATTGACGGCGGACGTCATCCCAGGAGGAGGTGGGTGTGCATCATGGGGATGACACCATGTTGCTTTTTGTTTTTTGTTTTTTTGTTCTTCTTGTTTTGTTTTTTGTTTTTGTTTTTTCTGTTCTCACCAAGGTGAAACGAAAAGCCACCTTTCGCCTCAAGAAAACAAGCCACGAGCCACGCCCACTAGGTTCCGGCTAGCAAGGCTTGCCCAAAACCGGTTGCGAGCCGTGTCAAAAGTTCGTGGCTTGTGCAGTTCGAACACCCTCCAAGATCCGCCCTTTTCTTGCTGGTGCGAAAAGCAGCAGATGGGAAATGGACTGACCAGTAGAAACACCCAACTGGTGGTTTCCTTTTTTTGTTCGGGGACCAAAGCCTGGGTTCATTTCCCGCGTCTCATTCCCAGCATCTCTCGAACCAGCAAGTTTTTCTTGGGGGAGGCTCCTCGTGACCTTTCTCCTCTCAAACGACTCGCGACTCGACTCTTTGTTCTAGGGGGTGATTCCCCCATTCTTTTTCACCACGGCTCTTTTAAAAAACCAGCTGTTCCCCTGCGATTTCGATGGTACTTTGAAAAGCAGGATCCCTGGAAAGAATGGAAATGGAAGCTAGCCCTAGCATCGTGCTCGACCTTCGCAGCACTCGCTCGGGGCTCGCTCGGGGCTCGCTCGGGGCTCGCCTTGCGGTGCAGGGTGAGGCGCTTCTGCACTCGATCCAGGTCGAAGCCAAGGCCTCGGCATCTACGACTCACCGTCCTGACTGACTGGGCCACCAAATAGGCTGAAACATGTGTTTGGTTGTTTTATTATTGTATTTCGTAACTTTATATCACCAACAAATATCATTTTGGTGTCTTATTATCAACATGGTCTTCCCAAAAAAACAAGCAAAAAGTCCGAAAACTCAGGGGGTGAGGCAAGCGAGCGACCTGCGGAGCGAGTGGGGGAAAGCCCCGGACAAGCCCCAGAAAATGCTCCAAGATGCTGAAGCCATTCTTCTTCAGTCTCTTGACGCTGTAGCGGAAGAGCGCCTCCATATCCTCCTTCTGCTTCTTCTCCTGCGTGGCATCCGATGCCCGGCCGATGCCGACTGCACAAGCCTTTGGTAGCAGCACACCTCGTTTTCTGGCGGCCGTCTTCTAGGAAAATGAGACGAACCAAAAAGCAACCGGAAAACAACCAAAAAGCACCAGCCGCCAAAGACAGCGAAGCCAACTTTAGGCGACCGACAGATGCGGCAGATCGCATTTCCCGCCTCAGAAGAGAAGCGAAGAAGGATGTTGTTGTCGTCCGGCATGTCCTCGAGCCATCACTCCAAATACATTCGCACCACAGAGCCCAGTGAAAGAGGCCAAACAGGAAGTGCCTCGGGCCATCAGCAAAGAGAATGAGGCCTGAAAATGTTTTTTGGTCTCGAAAAAGGAGTTGGAAGTCCCACAAAATGGGACTGCGCTGTCCTTTTGGTTTCCCTCAAGCCAACCCAAAGAGAGCAGCCACGCTGCCAATTCAAAAAGTCACACATCTGTCAATTGCTTGCAAGCCCCGGCTTCCGGCCGTCGGACGAAATACTCGGCCAGGCCGCAATCTTGGACATGTCCAACAAACGGTGCATCTCTTCCAGGCCCGCCTGAGTCACCGACTCCCCCAACTCTTTCCGAAATCTCCCGAGTCTGAACGGCCCCCGAAAAATGGGCGCGGCGGTCCCGATGTTGGAAAATCGGACTCCGCCCCCCCCCCAAAAAAAAAATGACGGGTTCGGCTTCCCGGCAAAAACCACAAAGATATAGCACGGAAAAGGGGTGCCCGAGCCCTCCACAAAAGGAACCAATGCCGAAACTCCGTTGGACCGAAGATCGCTTTGCCGCCGCGCCACGAAGTGTGCCAGCTCCTGCGGTGCAGGGCAAGTGAGCCATCATCGCATCTCTAGCATGACAGCCATCTTCACGGCCGCAGTCGTCTCAGAAGTCAGAAGCATCGTCCTACTTACTTTGCGAAAGAAAAGATGCCGCCAAGAAGCAAAAGCACCCAAATCCCCCCAAGTCGCCCAAAAAATCTGCCCGCGCGAAGCCCCAGACCGTCGTCCAAACCGGTCACTCGGAGCCATCGAATGCTTCGTGGCGCTTTTGGGTCGCAAAAATCCGCCGAGGCGAGGGGGGGTCCTTCTTGATGGCCGCCCGCGTGGCGAGCCAGGACATCGGCTTCTGCGCGCTCTCGTGGGCCTCGCGCAGCGCGTTGGCCGTGGCGTAGAGGATCCTCAGACGACCCGAGACGAGATGAGACAGGGGAGGCGGGCGGCTGAACACAGATCCGACCTGTTCATGTCCATGGAACCTGTGGACATCGCTTGGACATCGCTTCAGGAAGAAAAAAAAAGGTGGTCATGTCCACCACTGAAAGCGGTGCCGGTATTACAGAAGATCATGGACGTGGGCGTATCTTCTTTTGAGTCGGTACCCCCCATTTGCTTGGCGGTTTACAGGAATGCCACCATGTTGCGGATACCCCCAAGCAAAAAGCACACTCCCACATCTGATTGAGTTGAAAACGACCAAGGCACATTCGCGAGACTTTGTCGCACTGACCCAGGATGTTGTCAATAATCTCCTGGCTCCCATGGTTCGAAAGTCGCGCCCGCAAAACACACAAACGGCTGTTCCTCAAAATAGGGGACCACTCAAAATATGTTTTTTTCCTTGTGGTTTTCCTTTGCACATCCAAAAAGGAGTCAAGATACTTTGCTTGAAAAGCCCCAACATGCACACGCGGCTTTTGAAACCCGCCTGGTGCTCCCCCGCCAGGTTGTTCACTGCCGCCATAAGCCTCGGCCAGTGTCTCTCCGTGCACACCCGGCTAAAGACAGAAAAAACTAGCTGTGCTAAAGACATACTGTGGATGGACGACATCCTGACCCACTTTGGAGCCATGGGAAACCATTGTTATGTTCTTTCTTTTTTTTACGGGGCAATCATCATGCCAGGGTTGTCTTAGGTGGTGCGAAATGGATTTCGCAACCATCCACAGTACCCGGGGCGAATTCGGCTGCTTGAGAAACCCCAGCTTGCCCAGATGCGTGGCCCTTAGGCTGGTCGGAATCGAGCTCGCAAGCTCTGGGTGGGTTCGTCTATCTGTGCCTTTTGGTTTCTGACTTTTCTTTGGGCGTCCAGCAAGACAAAGCCATGCATTCACTCCAGCTCGCGGACCTGCATGCCCCGTTTTCGGGATCTGTCACCAGTTTTCGGGGTCCCTATCTTGACACCTCTCAACACGCCACTTCTCCCTGTTGAGGCCCTTTCCCCCCGTTTCCCCAAGTTGCCTTTCCTTCCCCCCCCTGAGATCTTCTCCCTTCTCCTCACCCCACCCCTCCCCACACCCACACCCACACCCACACCCACACCCACACCCGGCCGCGCGGCTTCGCGTGGTCCTTCGTCCGCCCGCTTTTCGGCGGGCGCCGGTAGGCCGCGAAGAACTCCCCGGGAGCGGTGGCACGCTGCGCCGGTAGGCCGCCTTCGCAGGGCTAGGAGTCAAAACTTTGCGCCGCCAGGAGATGGAAAAACCGCAGGTCTGAGTCGCTGGTTCCATTTGCCAGGGCAACCCATTTTGGGGTTACCCTATTTTTGACCACCACAGCGCGATGGCTTTTTTGGCTGCTTCTTTTGGCGGCGGCTTCTCCGGGTCCAAACAGGATGACGCGGAGCTTCCAGAAGCCCCCGGCTTGAGATCTCATGGGCCCGGAGTCCAAAAAAAACGGAAGAGTCACTCTTTTGCGTCCCCAGATCCCGGAGAAAACTCCCCCAGGCACTTGAAAAAAAAGATAGATTCGATTTGCCCCATCCTATCCATGAAAACCTGGCCAAACGGAGGATGGGCTCTTTATTTTCCGTGGTTCGGCTGGTGGTTTCTTTCCTAGGTTAGGCTGACACCAAACTGCAGTATGTTGCCCTAGTTTCTGACCAAATGCACCTGTTTTACAACAGCACCGTCAACCTCCCCAGCATCGTTTTTCACCCTCCCAGCATTGTGCTTGTTCAACACCCCCGGCATATCACCCAGAAGCTTTGGGGTTCAGCGGGTTCAAGGCTTGTTTAGTTGGGTTTGGGCAGGGCTTTGACTTCATTGTCGTGGGTTTACGGTGTGTATCGGGAAGCTTTAGTGGGTGTTGGGTTGGGGCTTGGTGGATTTAGGTTTGGTTAACGGTATGGTATGCAGATGGATTCGTGCTGGTTTTGGGTGTGATCAGGGTTTGGGGTACGGCTTCTCCCGGGGTGGCTTTAGGGTTGGTATATGGCACTTAGGGTTTGTTTGGGGTTGGTTTAGATTCTGTTTCAGGTAGGTTTAGGCTTGTTTCGGGTTGATTGCGTGGTGTAGGGATGGTTTACGCTGGGTTGCAGGTTTTTGTCAGGTTCTTTCAGGCGGATTTAGGGTGAGTTTGGTTGTGGGTAGGGTTGGTTCAGGGTCGGTTTAGGTTGGTTTAGGGATAGTGTAGTGCTTTAGTGTTGGTTTTGGGTTGGCTTGGGATGGGCCTAGGGTTGGTATAGGGCTTGCTTGTTGGTTCAGGGTGGGTTTTGGGCTGGTTTAGTTTCAAGTTGGTTTAAAGTGGGTTTGGAATTGGTTGTGGCTACATAAAGAGTTGGAGAAGGTCTGCTCACGCTCAGTCTGGTACTGGTTTGGTGCGTGTTTTGGGCTGGGTTTCTGTTTGGTCTATATTTGTTGAGATTTAATTTAGTGCAAGTTTAGGGTTGGTCTAGGACATATCCTTTTGGTGTCCCGTTAAGCAAACCTGGAACAGGCCTCAAAAGAACACGCCCAACTCAGCCTGCCCCTGAACCGGAGATGCCATTTACGTCACTCAACCAAGCTACTCGACGGGGCATTTTACAAGGGAAACACACGAAAAAACAGGGGTCCCCCCTATTTTGAGCCCTCGAGGAAACGGATCTTCCAGGACCGCGTGAGTGGGGAGGCTGCCGCGGCCTTTGTGAATTCAGACGCTTGGAAAAGTTCGCCTTTGACCAGGTCTCGAGTACTCCCCGATGCCCGATGCCCGGTGGAGTGACCCAAACCGCCTCGGTTTTTGCGGATCGGATGCTCCGCTCTCCCCCGTCCAATTCCTCGCCCGTTCTTCGCCTCCGGCCGCGCCTTTGGGCCTGTAGCCTGGGGGCCCCACTCTGCCCAGCGGCTCCGGGGGCGGCTCTTCCGGCTCCTCCGGCGGCTCGGGGGGCGCCTGCGGATCCGGACCCTCGGAAGCGGACAAGCGCCCACTGGCCGCAAGGAGTTGGCGGCTCCCACACGTGGCCTCGATTTTGGTTCCGGGGTTGGCCCGGTTTACCGCATGCGCACATGGAAGTCCACAAGAAACATGGTTTCTGGAGCCACTGGAGCCACAAGAAGAGGGCTCCGTCTTTGGACTCCAAGGATCTTCAGAAGGAAAACCGATCCCGCTGCCCAGCCTTTGGCTCCGGCGCCGGTTGTCGCCGTCGGTGTCCTGTCTGCACATCCCAAACCACCTGCGTGGCGTCGAGGTGTCCGACGCGCGGGCTAAAATTGGTGGTCTCTTCTATTGACGGTCCCATGTTGTGGGTCCCGGGGGCCGGGGGGGGAGGGATTAGAGCAAAAGACGCCCAGGGTGCCAACCATTTGTGGACCTCAGCGCCGCCCATAGCTGTCCCTTTTGGAAAATAGATGGCCCTGGTAGATGATTGAACCACCAGGTAAACCAGGGCCTTCTATGTGTTTAGCAAAACAACCAAAAAGGACACCTATGGCTCTGCCTGCTTTGCGCACCACAAAGCAGAAACCGCCTGCGGCTTGGGCGGGAGCGGCTGCGTACCCAGCTCCACATGCAGGGCACCTGCGAATAGAGAATCGATGGAGGCCCTCTGCTCGCTGGACATGGGCTGCGGAGATTCCCAATGTCCGGATTGCTGAAGTGGCCCATGAGGAATGACGGTCGAGTTCATGAAACATGCAGGTGATACGATTCAAGCAAAGCCAAATCAAAGCCATGCCAGAACTCGTGTTGCTTATTGCTCGCGCCCATTTTTGGAGCCCCCTCTTTTTGGTCGGCTTTTTTGATAGGACACCAAAAAGGACCCCCGCGCATGCCATTTTAAGGGTTCCCCCATGAAGCACACCCCCACCTGTGTCGAAGTTCCCGCGGAGCAAGGATTCCAGGTCCTCATAGCCCCGGCTGTCCGGGTTGAAGGGGTACAGCGTCACAGCCATGGCCTAGCATCTACCGAATCATTCAGCATGAGGAAAAAGCTGAATGGAAAAAGTGGGGGCCGATTTTGTTTGATGGTTCGGCTGAGGGGGTGCCGGAAAAGGGACAAACATGGAGGAGCCATCCGCGCGCACCTCCGTCCAGTTTCATCCAAAAACTTGGCCGCAAGTTCGGCCAGGGAGTCCCAAAATCCCCCTCAGCCTCACCTCCTCTCCCCGCCTGGGCGTCGCACCCGCGCCGCCCGGTCCCATGGTGCGCGGCCAAGCGACTCGGCTGGGCAACGAGGCCTCTCTCTCGCTCTCTCGCTTGCGGGTAGACTGGTAGACTGGTAACTCGGTTGCTCTCTGCTGGAAAAAAAAGAATAAAGTCCTAACATCCAAGCAAAATGCACCAAAGGGTAGACTGCTACACTGGTCGACGTCATGTTTGGCCGCTGCGAAGTTATCGGCCAGCTTCGCCGAGCGCCTTTCGCGCCGTCAGCCGGCGTGATTCGAACCCCAACAATCCGCCGGCCTCGGATTCTTTTTGAAACAACTCAAGCGACGAGCCAAAAATTCACGGGCCGGAGCTGCAAAGCAAAACGCGAGCAGTGCACGGAAGGCGAGCAGGCTCCTCCGTCTGGGCCGATCGGCAAGCCAGTTGAATTTGATCGCAAGCCAATTGATCATACTGGACGTAGCTCATCCTAAAAACTGTATCACATGGACAAGGTGTTTTACCTTTTGAACACCTCCTTCACATCGGGAAACACAAACAACCAGGTGATGCCTGAAGCCGCCGGCTTTTTCCTCCGAAGATGTCGTTGGCCCCAAGAGGCCAATCGCGGCTTGCACGGCTTCAGCCAAACGGCATCCACCCTGTGTACAACACAAAGCGCTTTCCGCGCCGCGCGCCTTGTGCACGCAAAGCTGCGCTAAGAGCACAACGCGCGCTGTCGGCCTCAGCCCTCACTTCTTCTTGAACTTGTCTTTGCCAATTGGCCCGCCATCCTCTGACCATCTCACCTGTTCGCCGAAACGCCAAACTGAAAAGCCAGATCGTCCTACAACAAATGGGTGTGTGTGTGTTGCATGTTTCCTACTTTTTCTAGGGTGGCCTGTTCGGGACTGGTTTTCAAACCCGTCCCAAAAAAGGACCACCATATCTATTGGGTGCCCCGATTTTGAGACACCCCCCGACTTCAGTCGCCTCCACGGTGTGCTCGTAGAGGTGCTTGGGCGGCTTGCCGGCATCCCTCTTCAGGCTCTTGTCCTGCACCAGTCAGGTACTTATGTGCTTCCCGTTTTTGGGGGGTACCGCCCCTTTTTGGTGGTGTTGAAGGGAAGTCAATGGCTACTGTGCAATCAGCAACCTACATGGCCACTCCGCGCCTTTGCATGGCAAAGGATTTTGTGGTGGATGTCCATTTCCCCGTACAAGCCTCTCTTCTCTGCCCCCAGTGAAATAAACCCCTGGCTCCTGAACACCCTTCTTGTTGAACTCAAGCATCGTCAAAGTGGACCTCTCCAAGGCATTCCCGATGCCCCATTGCCCCATTGCCCCATTCCCCCATTCCCGATCCCCTGGCGCGCCAACTTAAGGATTTGCATGATATCGGAGCTCGCAGTTCGGCGTATCGCGCGCGTCCCGTTCTTCGAAGCTTGAGTGTCGCGCTCATACTTGCCCTTGGGCGGCTCCACGGGAGCGAAGGGAATATAGATCTTGCCTGGCGGACAAGTCTCAAAACGGCCTCTTGGCCCTTGCATGACGGACATGCAGACCGGCAACGCATCCTCAATCTCAAGGGGGAAACAAAAACGACATGAAATTTAATAGGGGGAGAAGAAAAAAAACAACACAAGGCACCGGTTGCTCCCTTTGACCTCCTTGGACATCAAGCATGTGACCCCAAAGCGTGCCAGCAAGACTGTTCAGGGGCATTGCAGCCTCGCCTCTGATCCGAAACGGGCTGGGGGCCTTCGGCTGTTGCCTCCAAAGACATCCACGAGCTGCTCGCGTGAAGATTGACAGGCACAGACTTGCCGAACTTGGCAGTGCCGCTGTGTTTTGGGAAAGCCCAAAACAGATCAAATGCAGCAGCTCCCATCCAAACATATGAATCGCGCTCAGAGCCAGAAAACACAAATATTTTTTTGCCGCTGGCGCAAGTCACATCTGCCCCTCTATGGCGGCCATCAGGACCTCTCTGGCATCCACATAGGACCTGAAGTTCCGCTCGGAGCGCAGTGCATTTTTCGCCGGGCAAGGAGACGCACAGGTTTTGCCTAAGAGTTGTTCACCCATGCTGGTGCTTCTCTCTTGTTGAAAAGAACGAAAACTGCGTCCTCCTGGACGGCCGCGCTTGCCTTCTTGCTGGCTAGAAGACAATGAAAGCTCGAGGGTAAGAGTGCGCTCAGAAACGCCGGAAAAGGAACTCTCCCATCGATTCTCATGCCAAGCCATTCAAATCTATAAGTCAGACATGCTTAGGCAAGCGACAGCCGGTCGAATCACAGGCAAACAGGGCCTAATGGCCAACTGCTGGTGAAACATGTGAGCGTTGGTTTTTATTGCCTACAAACTTGCTTGGACATTATTCAAGCTTCCGCGGACCCTTCCGCATCCTTCCCGCGGGCCAAGAGGTCCCTTCCGCGAACTTCCGCGGCACATGTGTTACCTGTTCAAGAACCTATTTTGGGCTTCCTGCTTCCTTGAACCCCAAAAAGGGAGCGTTAGAACCAGCTTCTGCGACCCTTTGGCGAGGGCCTTCCTTTTGGCTTGAGAAAAAGACAAGCCCGAAGCGGGCGCCGACGCAACACGAGCGGAACCAAGCCACGGGTGAGATTTCCGCTCCCCTCGATTTTGTGTGGTTTGGAGGCGTGGTGTTTTCCGGGGGTGGTGTGCCATCAAACCCCCCTTTACAAGAAGGGTTCAAATCCAGTTCCCGCCAAGCCAAACCGCGAAGGCGATAATCCTGATGAAACCTGTTACACCTATGAGAAACATGAACTTGCTTCCCATACCACCAAGGCGAGCCTGATGAAACTATGAAACACCTTAGATCCAACTTGCTAGTTCCCCCATTTTTTCAAAGGCACCCCACCCATCGTCCCACAAAGGGGCCCGTCGAAAGGCCCATCGCCCTCGTCCAACCCATCGCGGGAAAGGTCTTCCCAGGGGCCCGCGCCAGCTCTCCGCCACGTCCACCGCCGTGCGCCCCGTGATGTCCTCCCTCTGGGGGTCCGCGCGCGCCTGCGGCGGTGCGTCGCTTTTCGCTTGGAGGCAGAGGCTGAGTCGTGCAAAATGCTTCGGACATGCGCCCCTTGGGTACATAAAGCGAAAAACGAAGAGAAACCCTTGCCATGTGCAGCAACCACTTTTGGTTGGAAATCAAAGGGAACCTAGGAAAAAACCCGACCATTTTATGGGAGGACGTTGGGAGAAGCACCCAAATGCAGCTATCGGCCCAAGGCTACCATGAAAAACCGACTGCACCGGCCACGGTGTTGCTCCGCTACCTCCAGCAGCAGCATCAAGACCTTCAAGCTGGCACCACCGAGCCTCAGGATCAGGCGGAACTTCATGCAAACCTACCCCAGGGAGTCCGAGAAAGGATTTTGTCACCCGGAAGCGATCTGGATTCCACCGCCTGATCCAAATTCAAAACGCAACCAGGAGTTGATTCATCATCTCTCTCTCTCTCTCTCTCTTTCTCTCGCAGTGAAAGTTTTGTGGATACCCCCACCCCCTTTTGTGTTGATTTTGAAGGGAAAAGAGAAAACCCGTCCATTCTGCGGGTCCTCTAAAAAAGGCACCCACATGCTTTGAAACTGAAGGCGGTCCAACCAAGTTGTGGCATCTCAAGCCTCTGAGCCGTGAATCGCATCAACTGTCCTCACATCCTCGCAGAAAAGAACGCGGGCGCCCTTCGCGTTTTTAGAAGCATACGTGCTTGTGCATTTCACTGACGAGGCTCCTCAGCCCTGTGGCCAACTGGGCGGAGTGACAAGTGGAAAGATGCTGGATTAGTGAGCGGAAAGAAGGCAAAGCGGTGGAATAAGTGTGAAGCGCAAAGATGAAAAGCGCAGTCAAGTCCAAAATCAAAGGTCCTAAGTTTGGACAATTTGACAATTTGGGTATGGGTCAAAAACTTACCCCACCAGGGGACCGCAGGTTTTAGTCCATGTTTCCATTTATGTAGGGCGACCCATTTTGGGGTTCCCCTATTTTTGACAACCACTGCCATTTGACGAACTCCAAAGCCCAACGTCTGAATGAATTGCATCGTATGCATCTCTGAGTGCGGTTTCCAAACACCTCGCTGCCGGGCTCCCGACACGGCTCGGTGCAGCCTCACAGCGGCAGAGTGGGCAATCGGATGGGCCGTCTCAAGCCTCGTCTTCAGAAGTCCGTGCGATCTGTGAAACATAAGTCGGGAATGAGGCGGCAATACAAAACAAGCTTCTGGCCTTTGTGAGGCTTTTCGATTGAAGATTGAGTGATCGCACGCATTTGGAATCTCTCTGTCCTCTTTCAGGCTCCCCAAAAAAAGCATCAATGTCAGCCTCCGACCCCACTGAGTGGTCCAGCAAAACAAGAAAACCGGGATTTCGTCCTTTCCATTCACCATGGTTCCCTTCCGGGTTGCCCTAATTTTCGAACGACCCCTTACAAAGCACAAGAATCCACTCGCTGTCTCCGGGAGTCAAAAATTTCGCCCAGCTGCGGCGTCTCGCCCATGAAGGGATCCGCCTTGTTGGGGTCCGCGGCGGCCTGACTTCGCTGCTAAGCAGATTTCGAGGGAAATGGCGATGTGGCTGTGGCTCAAAAATCCGGAATTCCAAAATGGGTTGCCCTGGTAAGTGGAAACATGGACCAAAATCTGCGTAACCCCTTCTGCTTAATTTTGAGCCACACCCAAATGGCTATGTGTCACAACAGAGAGACCACAGAAATGCGTGTCAACAGGCGGCTCGGTTCTTGCAAGAACAGGCAAGATAAACATGCCGAGCGGGAAAAAGACATGCGGTATACATCCCCAGCGGTTCGGTTCTTGCGTGCTCACTTCACAGGGCGCCTGCAGCAGCACATTAACCTCGAAGCAACGTGCTGGGCGCAATCAGAGACAAGCGAACGACCTGCAAAGCAAGCCAGGAAGCCCGCACCAAGCAAAAGTTCAAAGTTCACCACAAACTTTCAACGGAATGAGGTCTGTTTGCCTTGGTCAAATTGAATCTATGCTCTTAAATCAGCCACACCACAAGACCAAAAAGCCACGATCTGCGAAAACAGCTCGTTGGAACAGCACCAAGCTGCACTGGCCATGCTTTAACCCCACTCTCGTAAAACTCGCATGGGCACTGGGAATTGAATTCTCGTAGAAGAGGCTTAACCCATGTTCTCATAGACCTTTCTGCTGAACTCAAAGGTGCCGGTGACAGCGACAAATGAGCTGTGACTCGCGTAGCCCATAGGCTTGCATAGCAATCCACCCGGAGTGATGATCCACAAATTACTCAGTTGCCTGCACCTCGCGATGCACCTAGGCAACTGCCAAAACAGGTTGAGGAACAATTCTGTCCACTCCTTGGCATGTGAGCAAAAGATGACCTCGCTCTTGATCCTGAGGGCCCAGCTGCTGCAGACGCACACCCCACGCCACATGCGAGGAGCAGCGGCGTGTCTCCACCGGGCTCCTGATCCAATTGGCACGAAGGGGGCGGTTGGCAGTGCAGGGTGCAGGTTCGGTAAGCACTGCTCCCAGCCGTCAGGACTGCGCCAAATTGTGGATGTCCGGGAAGAGAGCGAGGGAGCGAGCGAGGGAGGGGAGGGAGGGGAGGGGAGGGCGAGACGTCGCCCGCTCCTGCACATTCACGTCCAGGGCATCCAGCCTGAGCGCTTGGAGACCCTTTCGCAATCGAAAAGGGATCAGTCCGAATGGGGTCCTTGGCCTTGGCCGTTTCCAATGGAGCTCCCCTTTTCGAAAATGCTTGCAGACTGCAAATCGTGGGGGTGCCCAAAGGAGACACGCCCGAAGGGGTGGGCGCCCTGTTTTGAGGCTACCCTGTTTGTTGGCTGGTAAATCAACATCAAGAGGTAAACGCATCAAATTTTACGGGGAGCAAAAGAAAAAAAGCACACCCAAATTTGCATCTCAGACCCAGCCCAAAAAAGCGCCCCATCTCCCCCCCAGGGCGCGGGCGCGCATCGCTGGATGGCGCCCGCGTCGCCCAGCCGCGCCGCCTCGAAGAGCGCCTCAAAAGTTGAGGGGAAAGCGCAAGGAACACGGAGGTTGCATGTGGATCTTTCCAACCCAAACCCCAAAAAAAACAGCAATATACGGGTGGCCCAAATCCAGAGAGTTCGGCAGGATCTTCGCCCAAATCCAAAAAAACATGGCAATTCACGAGTCCAAATCTAGAGCTCGGCTTTTCTTTTGGCAGGGTCGGTGAGGCTCCAAAAAGTGACATGGAGTAGACAGCCTGAGAAGGCCGGGCAAGTGGAGCCCGGGACCTGGGCGGCTTCCTTGGTGAAACCCATGGTCCAAGAATGAGCATAGGTGTCTTTTTTTGGGAAAATGGATGGGTTTCCCTGGTAGTTGATTGAACCAGGTAAACCAGGAATCGCCCTCCTTTTTGTTCGACCAAGTCAACCAAAAACGACACCTAGGACAAGGAGTTTCTATTTTTCACACCCCGCAAAATGCGGGATGGACCGAATGCGGCGTCGCCATGTCCGAGGCTTGAATGCGGGGGTTGCACAAACATGTGCTGGTGCGATTGGCAGGGAATTAGACATGGAAGGACCACTCTGAACAATCCCCGAGTTGACTCTTCCTTTCAGGGAATCCCCTTCCGGTTCATTCTCCCTCGGTCATTCCCTGAGCATCCTGGACGACACCTAGGCCAACTTTCGACCTGGCACCCCTCCGATCGCCGAGATCTCCCCGCCTCCTCCTGCTGCATGACCCGCCCTTGGCTCTGTGGCACCTCTCGCCCACAGTTTGGCTTTTTGCCAAGCCGAGGAGCTCAATGATTGAACCCAGCCGGCCGAGGACATGTGGCTGTGGCTCAAGAAACCGGAATTCCAAAATGGGTTGCCCTGGTAAGTGGAAAACATGGACCAAAACCTGCGGTTATGCGGTTTGCCTCCTGTTTAATTTTGAGCCACACCCATGTCACAATCACAACCCTAGAAAAAATCGAGGTGGCGCGCCAGTCTTCGCACCTGCCTTCTGTCGGATACTTTGCCCAAGAAAATTGAACAAGAACTCTCACTCCATGAAAGCTGGCAAGGACGAAAGAAATCCTCGGATCAAATCCGGTCGGCATTGGAGTGGGCTTTGAAACCGCAAAAAACATCTGCGCCGAGGCCTGTGGGATGCATTGGATCCATGTTCCAATTCACGCTTTGCCACATCGTCTCTCTCTCTCTCTCTCTTTCTCTCTCTCTCTTTCTCTCTTTATTTTCTCTCTCTCTCTCTCTCTATCTCTTCTCTCTCCCCTTCATCTCCTTCTTCTCTCTTCTCTCATCTCCTTCTTGCCTCTGTTCATTCCTGCTTGTCTCCTTGTCCGGGCAGAAACGCCTGAGTATAATGAGCAAACGGCAAACTGTCGCCCTTCCAGCCGGAAAGGAACCCTCCAGCACAAGACACGTCTTGAGATCCCACGATGGCAAACATATGGCTGTGGCTCAAAAAACCGGAATTCCAAAATGGGTTGCCCTGGTAAGTGGAAACATGGACCAAAACCTGCGGTTTGCCCCAGATCTTTAATTTTGAGCCATGCCCATATCGCCTCCACTCCGAGGCCAACCAGCATCTCCGCAACCTCCTGGCGCCAGGAGTTGAGCGGAGCCCAAGGTCTTTGCTCGTCACAGTCGGCCGGGTCCATCGAATCTTCTGGACTGATTCCAGACTCCGCTTGAACTGTCCTAATCCCATTGAATCGCAGCCTGCTCGCGGACATGTTGAGAAAGATCAGACTGGACAATCAGTGAGCCAGCTGTTTGCCAGCTATTCAAGCAACATTGGTCAAGCCTGAAATGAAGAAAACTTTTGGAAATACAAGGAAGGGGGGGTAGAATTGAAAAAGATAGAAATGAGAGCCGAACATAGGGCGCATAAAACCCTCTACTTCCAAACCGCTTTGGCGGAACCTTGAGGCTCTCAATCAACTCCTTCACAAGGGTTTTCGGCGCTGCCCACACGAAGAAATCTGTTTTACCCGCCTGATGGCCGTTCTCTGTCGCCAGCCGCCATGCCTGCTCGCCGTCATCCAGCGAGCCTCAGGCGGTGACAATCTACATGCGGGTGTCTTTCTGCCAGTTGGGTGTCTGTTTTTGGTGGGTATTAAAGGCAAACCAAAAGCAATAACACAATTTGTGGGGGGGTCCGATTCCTAGCAAGGAACAAACACACCCAGCTAGGCCTCTTTTCGCTTCCTTCATCCCGTGCAAGAACCTGAGAACGAGACACGCCACACGCAACGCACCTCCAGCTTTTGCCTCCGTCAGAGCAGCGCGCCCTCCAGAAGACGAAGCGCGGCAACGCGGTTTCGCACCAAGAAGGACAAGGAGCCCAGGAGCAAACCCACGCAGGCGTAAGTGACCTGTACCAGGTTCCACAGGCACCGCAGATTCTGCAGCAGTTGGAGCCATTCTTTGGCGCTCTTCGAGCCGAAGCCGTGCTCCAGAAGCAGCAGCGGCGGGGTCAGCAGCAGCCCAGGCCCCGCCAAGAAGAAGACGCCGCAAATGGCCTTTGTAAAGGCGCGCCGCTGCAGCCTGGTGTAGGCGGAGGGGAAAGCAATCTTCACACGTAGCTCCTTCAGGCTCGCCAGGACGGATCGCGCCGGCGCAGGCGAACGACTCGCCTCGGACTCGTCACTGGAGGTGTCGCTGTTGGGCGGTCTGGGCGCCTCATGCGCCTCGTGGTGCCACCCCACTTCGAAGCTTCCGAAGCACAAGAGCAAGATGACGCTGACGGCGCCCACGCTCAGGAAGAAGTACGTCAAGACGGTGAAGCGAAGAAGGGATACGACGCCGGCGTCCTGCTCGTTGCAAGCGAGCACGAGCCAAAACACCGTGCCCGACAGCGCGAAGGACGCCACCGGGCAGAAGAAGAACAAAATCAGGGGGGACCTGCGCCGCAGGCTGGCGCTGTCGAGCCCGATGTGCGTGATCTCTCGCAGCGTGGCGTCGAGCCTTCCATGGGTCGTCTTCTCTTCGATGAAGTCGTGAATCTTCTTCTCGTCCTCCTCTTTGCTGGCCTTGGCATTTTTGGTCTTGACTTTGAGGATCGCAGCGTGGATCTGTTGCAGCAGGCTGTCATTGAGCCCGCCCTGACTGATGACTCCATCGGCATTTGCCAATTCCAACGGGATCTTCTTCGCGCTGAAATGACGGCCTCCCTTTGGAAGCACATGAGTGACATAGAACAACTCGAAGGCGCACCACAAACGGCGGTAAATCACGCATTGCGAGTCAATGACGCAAACCATGCTCTGCAAACATTCGCTTTGCAATGCGAGGGCAAAGGAAGAAGCGTCCACTGTGCCGCCGAGGGCGTGGCTGAGCTCGTGCTGATTGTTGGCAAAGGCGCAAATCCAAAAGGACCAGCGCAGCGCCTGCCGGCGATTGAATCTCGCCTCCAGCAGCGCCAGCGCCATCACCAGAGCCGAGACAAGGCTGTTGGAAACGATCACCAGCAGAGTGTCGCTGATGCTCCTGGCGTACAGATCATCCAGCTTCTCGTGCTGCCGCATCAAGCGCAGGGACAGGTGCGCATTTAGCAGCAGGGCCAGCGTGGAGTGCAAGAGCACCCAGAGCCTCAGCGACTGCCGCTGCATGCACTCCGCTTCCGCGAAGCGCGTCAGGCTGGCCACGAGGTTGCAGAACTCCTCGCCCCACCAGTGGGACACAAAGGTGCGCACCTTCCTGACTCCGCCGTCCCGGCGCTGGCAGTCCTTCAAATACTCCACGTAAGACAAGGCGGCGCTCTCGTTGCAATAGCGCTTCAGCACGATGTCGTTCACCACCTCGTAGAGGTTCGGAGTCCTCCAGCGGCCCTGCGCCAACGAGTTTTGGCAGCTGCAGGGACCCTGGAAGCCACGCGGCTGCGAGGCACAGCCCATAGCCTCCTCGTTCTCGCAGTGCCACCGCACCTCACGCATCTCCTCGTGATCACGCAAGTGGATCAGCTCCTGTAACGTAATGCCCCGCTCGTCCTGGGTGCTGGAAACCGAAAGACTCAAGGGTCACTCGATGTCCCCAAATCAAAGGTTGATGAACTTACTAGTTGTTGTTTTTTCCATTGAAACGATCGAAATCCACTTTCGCAGGTTCCACAAAGGGACATGGCTTGAAAAGCCACCACCTCAAGGGGGGGGGGCCTTTTTTGCAGTAAAGGGAAACCAAAAGGAAAAAGAACGAAGCCGTTCTGATGTACCCTTCTAAGAAAAAAAACACACGCACGCCCACCGGGGGATTCCACCGACGCCCCCTCCCCGCCCTCGGCGCCTGCGGCAGCAGCGCGAAGCTGGTGGAGCGCCGCCGGTGCCGCCGGCCACTGAAGGGCGACCCCGCCGCCGAGCTGTCGGCCCTCCGCAACTCCAGCACCGGTGCCATGGCGCCCCGCTCGGAGGTGTTTGCGTTTCGGCGCCCATTTGCCCACAAGAACCAACTAAGAGTTGCTTTGCAGGGCGGATTTCTCTGATACATGATAAACAAACAAAAAAACCCGAGCCACGGCCGTGGGTGTTTTTTTTTTGGTCTGTGTGTGTGTGCGTTTCTTCTTAAAAGGCTCCCACATAATGGTCGGTCTCCCATTGCCCCGCAAGGGTCCTTTAAAAAAACAACGTGCCCGTGTGCTGATTCTCCTGGCGACTGCCCCAAAAAAAGCTGCCGCGAGATGTGGCCAAATCCCACCGAAGCTGATACCAAAGATCTGGTCGGCTTTGGGGAAGGTTCAGGTGAGCGGACCCGTTGGCAACCTTTTTCTTTGTTTCCCAACATGGGGGTTCATCAATAATTCCATTTAGGGCCCCAACAAAAAAGCCATGTTTATAGTGGTAAAAGTCGTAGCGTTACTGGTGGTTTCAACCGCACGGTCACCCTGTGACCTTTGATCAACCCCCGGCTTTGGCCAAGGCGCTCGCCAGCGCCAGCGCCCTGGCCGTCGCCAGATGCCCACGCTCCTGGTCTCCCGCAGAGTGCTTGGCCGAAGAAGTCGCTGAATGTGTCTCCAAAAAAAAGGCCTGCAAAATGGTGGGTGTCCTTTCTCTTTCTGCTTGAAACCAAGCAGATGGGGATTCCCAAAAGAAAGGCACGAGCCATCCGTGTCCCAAAATTAGGAACGGGATCCCTTTGGGATGGACGCCCCTCTGCAACTGTCACCTTCAAGATCAGCATATGGAAAAGAAGGCCTGCAAGCCTTTCGATATCAAACTGGGATCCCTCTTTCGATATCCTACGAGATGGTTGCTCACAAATAGGATACGGTCCGATTGGAAGGAGAAATCGTCGAAATGACGAAAGGAGCCCTTCTACCCTACTGATCCCCAGCTTCCCAGACTCTTAGAGCATTCCCGAGGATCAAGGGCAAACCAAGCAGCTTTCAGCTCGTGCGCCGGAACAAGTTCAGGCCGCCCTCTAACTTGGCATGTGGCTGTGGGTCAAACAATACCCAAAATGCAACCTAAGAAAAAATGGACACATGGACCACAACCTGCGGTCTTGCCTTTTGGTGCCATACCCATGTCTTCCTCTGGGCGCATTGGAGGCCTCCCTGCCTGGCCCTCTCGCTCTCTGAGCCCCTGGCGCAGGCATACATCAGCGCCGTCCGACCACCCACACCTGCGAGTTCGAGGACCCGAGCTCCAGCGGGCTCTTCGTCTGCCACAAGTTGACCCAAGAGTTGTGCACCGTGAACCCGCAGATGGCCCATGGGTCAAAACCCAAATCGGTTAGCCCCCCAGTGAACATCCACCAATCCAAGCACTAGAATAGGTTCTAAAATGGGTGAATTCACCTATCCCAACCAAAATGGGATCCCAAAAACGGTGTTGACAATCCTCGCCAGACAGATCTGCCCAAACTGCCCCCTGCCAAAAGAATTGCTCCGTCCCGACGCCTCGGCCAACCGGCCCCGCCTCTCGCCGCGACGTCGGCGCGGGCCTCCAGCAACATGCCCGCGGCCTTGCTCCGGATCCGGAGGGCTCCGGAGAGGCGCCCACGCCCTTTCGCACAACCACTTTGCCCCTAAAAACAATGTCCGCAACAGGCATAAGACGCTACAGAGAAAAAAGAAAAAGAAAGAAAACATGGGAAAAAGGACCGAGCCGGTGCAAACCAAAGGAGCCCAAAAGGCGAAGACACGAGACCTGCCCCTTTCGCCTGCTGGAGTCTCTCCGGCCTCCGCACTGCCTGCCCAGGCCAGCGGCTCGTCGCCGTGGTCGTCGCGGCGCTGGGGGTCGCTCTTGGCCTCGACTCGTTGGGGGATTCCCTTTTTGGCTGCGGTTTGAAAGGAAACCCTTCAGGTCGCCTAAAGACCTGCCCGCCCTTTCAAGCGACCATAGACCGGAAGGGTCGGCCAAGCCTGGCGCTGCTTTTGTCGCTCAACAAGAAACCAACCCGAGCTTTTGTTCATTGAAACCCAATGCGAGGGCCTGAGCTGCCGCACGTCGAGCAGCAGCTTTAGGAGAGAAGGGTCACCACGCGAACTCGCCTCGCCGGATTTTCGAGCTGTGCAACTTGTTGTTCGCGGCTCAGTTGCCTCAAAACTAGGGAGAGAGAGAGAGAGAGAGAGAGAGAGATGGGCCGTTGGGTTGTGGGGCTGTTGGGGTTGAGCTGTTGGGTTGAAATCCTCTGTTCCCGTTGAAACCGGCCCGAAACGTGATCGTTACGAGCCCCTTTCGGCTGAAGAAAAAGGAAACCCCAGTGGATCCGTGTTGAAACAGCCCGAGGTGGATTGTTGAGGATTCCCTCAAGACATCCCATCAATTGCCAGCCAGAGTCGCGTAGTGGCCGGCAGTGGTGCCGGAGCCTAAGCCAAACCGCAAGGATGCCAGCTGATAGCAAAGCAGGCCATTTGAACAAGCACTGGCAATAGGTCGGTATTGGCGCCTGCATGTTGTGCCACAGCTCGCAATTCGAGAGCTCACAGCCTAGGCTTTCAATCTGGGGCCGCCGGCTGTCCATGTCATTGGGGTTGGCGCCCGCCTCTAACAGAACTGCAGCGACCTGACAGCGACACTGGCCAGTCGGGCGCAAGGAAGTAGCAACCTAAAACAGCTGCTCTGGATGCTCCGGACATCCGACAAAAACTCTCGAGCGATGAAGCGAAATCGGCAAATTGCCCGCGGCTTGCCCAAACCTCGCCACGCCTCCGCATCCCCTCGCTTCACTGCGAGCAGCAGGCCTGAAGCCCCTGCACAGGAAACTTCCGGAGTGGGCGTGTCTCGAAATTCGAGTACGTCCAAAACCAGCTGTCCACAGGGTTCACTTTTTTGCGACCACAGGCTTAAACTTAGAGCTTCCCCTGATTTTTTGACTTTGCCTGGGAGTCCACAAATGGAACCCGGTGGTCTGAATCCCCCCGTTGCTTGCCTTGAAACGTTGGAAT